TTGGTGGGGCCTCATCTTTATCCCCACAACTCTTCTCTGCCACGACCCCTGGTCATTTCTTTTATGATATTATAATTTGGTCTTTGGGTGCCTCTCTACAGAGAGTAAGTTTGATGAGGGGAGGTGTTCACCTCTATTTCCTCATTGCCTAGCACATAGTTGGCACTCAGAAACTATCTGCTAAATTAATGAAAGATCAGCCAGGTAGCAAGGGAAAGAGACGGAGGCAGGATTTTAAACCCAATTCTCTTCGACGCTGCCTCCTACCTTCTTCCTACTCTTCCACGTGATTCGGAACCGCGGAGCAGGAGTTTGAGCCGAGCATCAGAAACGGGGGTCAGAAGGAGCCACGGCCTTTTCACGGAGCTACATGAGCATACATGGGTACGCGGGCCTTGTGCAGACACCCTTGTGGGGTTGTCACTGCTGTCGATGACTCATAGCTGCTGCGAAAGGAGCCTCTGGCCCCAGACTGCAGATGTAACTCCGGGAAATCCAAACCGAGCTGCTGCCCCAGCCCGGCCGAGCTCTCTTCTATTTCTCACTCCTCTTTCACACATTCTCCTAGAGCCAGGCCCCTGCTGTCACCCCAGGAAGGGAAGTGGTCAATGGCGGCCACTGCAAACACTGCCCTGGAGGAACCGAAACCAGCAGAGGCAGCCCTCTGTCTTCCCACTGGGCAAAGCCAGCGTTGGCCAGTGCCCTGGCCTGGTGTCAGCGGTTCTGGGGGCACCAGCAGACCCAGACCTAAGGGCCATGCTTACAGCTTCCTCAGAAGGCTCCGTGACACCCAAAGGTGGGACATTCAGAAAACCCCTGGGGCAATTGTTACAGAACAGAGGTCCAAGGGGGGGCAATATTTGGCCCACCGAGGGATGCCAAAAACTGTTACAGAAAACAGGGGCCCTTCCCAAGGACGGTATACTGATACCTATTGGTATTAGTATGTATCTGTCCACTGCCAATTGGAAAGAGATCTCTCAATGCCAGAAATTTGTGAAAAAGAAAGGAAAGGTTTATTTAAAGCTATACAGACTTAAAGTAGTGACCCAATGTCCCCATTAATATATCAAAGTCCTTTAGGATAACCACAGACGCCCACAGAGCTTCCTTCCCCCCTGCCCTAATTCAGGGTACCGTAACTCAGGAAAAGAAGCACATGTCCATGTTTTCCAGGCCAATGGCACCGTCAGCTGTGTCGCCATCCAGGCAGGATCTCTACTTACTCCAAAGCCACATGGCACCTTCTCACGGTTTCCTGGCAAGAGTTCTTTGTACCCATTTTCCAGGCCTGCTTCCCAGGCCACGCGGCCAAAGGGAGCACCCCAAAGCCCCATGGGCCTCTTCTACCAGAGCTGCAGGGGTCTGCACTCTGGCTAAAACCGCATGGTTCTTTCCTTCACATGGCTGCGAAGAGGTTAGGGTCACCACTCTGGCAAAGCTGAGTGGCAATTCTATGCTAAAGTCACATGGTGATTCTCTCTCACATGACTGCAGGAGTCCTCACTCTGCCAAAACTGCATGGCTCTCTTCCTCAATGGCTGCCGAGTTTGCATTTAAATCCCCACGCCAGTCCTCCTTTGCAGCCCCATTTCCAACTCCTCCTACAATCAGTTACACCTGCCAGGACTCCCATATCCTCCCAGCTTTACTGGGCTGCCATAGTGAGTCTGGGCAGGTATGGCATGGAGCCAATCATCTCCAAGCTCTCACATAGGCGCTGTAACCAGTGGGTGTTGCCTCCCAATTACATCCTGGGTGGAAGTCACTCCCTTCTCCCTGGCTCAAAGCATAGCCACAGCTATTTAACATATCTGTGAAACCAGTTAAAGGTTATAGATATGTTAAATGACCATTCTAGAGGCTATCTACAAAACTGTTGCTATGCAAAGCAACTCTCAATGGCCCTGCTCCATTTGTCCCTTCCCCCAACTGACACCTGTGGGGTGGGGGGTAAGGGCATCTTAATATTTCCTGGACACCTTGAGTTCTGGACCCCATTCCAAATCCCTTTTGTGGAGGGCCCCCTCTTGGCTGCACCCTGTTACACAATGACAGACACTTAAGGAAGCAGAGCTTACTCCTTGGTAAGAAATGTGAAGAATGGGGGTTGAGGGGGGGACTCCCTGTGCAAAAGATCTGTGTCGGCATTGCCCAAAACATGGAATAAATCCTTCATCTTTATCTTCATCTGCTAAAGATGAAGCGTTCCTAATCTTTCTTGTGACATGGGCCCTCTTCTCCAGATAATGTTTTAAATGCATAAAATAGAGTGTATTAAATTACAAAAGACACAGTAATCCTGAAATTAAGTCATTGCATTATTTAAAAAAAATTAATAAAGTGATAAAGTAATATACGAAATTCTTTCTGAATAGATGAAACTGTACAAACTAAGACTAGTTGAACAATTACTGTGATTTTCAAGTAGTGGTGATTATAAATATACATTGTGAGATATTTACAAATATCAATACTATACAGTGAATAGAAAACATCTGTGATTTTGAGTGATGCCGAAGTCCCAGGCGCTGCTGGTACAGCTGCTGCCTACATCCCTAACTGGAGGGAATGGTAAATTTCAGTTAGACGTTAAAGAGAATAAAGATATGATTTTTTCCCTCATCCAAGGTTATAGACCTCTTAGATTCTTTTTTTTGCAAGTGACTCTGCTCTAAGGATTGTTGGCCTCATCTCCCCAACCGAAATGGGAGCTCACTGAGAACCAGGCCAGCTTCTTCATCTTATGCTAAGTGTTTAGAAAGGGCCTACCATGCATTAGGTATCCAGTACTAGTCTACTGAGTCTCTTGGATTTTCTGGGTAGGCATTTGTGTTGATTGTGAATGGCAGTGTTTCTCTTTTCAACCTTTGTACTTCTTTTTTCTTGTCTTATTGTATTGGCTGGGATCTTCAGTTCAAAGTTGACTAGAAGAAGTGATGTTGACTAGAAAAAGAATGCTCACTTATTAATCCATGCAATTGCCTACTTATATCATAGAATGTAAAGCCCCTACTGTGTGCCACATTCTGTGCTGGGGATAAAGATGTAACACAACCAAGATCCTTTTCTTTCCACTGAGAAAACTAAGTAGAGGCATTTCAGTGAAGGCAGCCATATTGAGAACTTGACTAAATTCTCTCGCCGTGCTGACCTCCTCCCTCAGGGTCCTGATTCCCAAAAAGTATGGAAATAGATTCCCGCTGGTAGCCCCAGTCTCCAGGGCATAAGGAAGGTTAGCAGCTGCAGGTTTTTCCAGGACCCCTGCCACATGCAGCAAGGAGGCAGCACACAGGGAGAGAAATGAGTGATGCTCCCAGCAGGAGCTGGCCAGGGGACCGAGCCAGGGCCAGTACCTGAGCCTGCTGAGGCCACTACCTGTCTGTTCTAAGCCTGTAGCTACAGGCAGGACCCGTTATTCAACAGAAAGAGAAGTGCTACTTCCAGGTGGGCAGTTAAGTGTTACCACTTCCCTCTGCCTCTTTCCTCCATAACTGTAAGGGCGTGAACACAGAGGCAGACTGATTAGACCCGTCCACACATCCTCTCCACCTGTCTAGCTGCCCTGGGGACTGACATTTCAAATGGACCAGACTGTGCCTTGGGGACTGGAAGAAGACTGAGGTAATCACCAAATGAGACTGAGGAGTCAAATCAGATCAAGATGTTTTAAGAAGCCGGCTACCCAGCAGGAGGTGGGAAACAAGCTTAGGAAGGGCAGCCTCGGCCCCTCAGTGGTCTGAGCTAATGGAAACAATAGCCCTGAGGTAGTAGAATACTGGCCCCCCAAAATACCCACAGCCTGACCCCTAGAACCTGGGTGTATGCTCCCTCACCTGACAAAAGGAACTTTACAGATGGTTTAAATCAAGGGTCTCGAGGTGGAGAGGTTATCCTGGATTGTCCAGGTAGGCCCCATGCAACCAGGAGGGGCATTTTAAGAGGGAGAGAGAAGGGTCAGTTCTAGGGAAGACCTGATGATGCCCCCAAGGTCAGAGTGATGCAGTCAGTAGCGGAGGAAGACAGGCAACCTCAGGGAGCTGGAAAAGGCGAGGGACGGGTTCCCCCCAAGCCTCCACCTCCGACCTCCAGAGCTGTGCTGTTCTTGGCCACCAGGTTTGCAGTAACCTGCACTGATTCAACTCCAGGAAGCTGAGGCTCCTCTCAGCCCCAGCGAAACCAGGAGCAAGGAGCAGCACGGGAAGGCAGATGGCTTTTGCCCTTGGAAGTCTGGGGCCAGTGGCCTTTTTGGAAAGACCAAGGCCAGTAGAACAACTGATTCCAGTGCGAGCAGTAAGATAAGGTGGGCATGGAGTACTACTTCCCAGGGGGGGGCCACAGGGGAGGGGCCTCACCACTGGGCCTGGGAGGTGAGTAGGAGCCAGAGCAAGGGCTGCAGGCCAGAAAATTCCCTGGAGCAGGGCACCCCCTTTATACCTGATACCTCCAGCCTCAGCCCCACTCCAGGGGCGTCCTGACAACGTCAAGGCTGGGCACCCTCTTAGGACATTCTGCACCCCCTCCGCCTGTTCACATAGCAGATACTGTGCAGGGGACAAGCAAGACCATTCAGGGTCACCCCTAAGTAATCACGAGTATGGGGGTGGGCGGCCAGAAGCCGGGCCGGTTTCCCAAGAGAGAGGAGTGGGAAAGGAGATGGAACTAGTTCTGCCCCCTCGACGCCACCGTCCGGAGGAAGTGGCTTCCTCCTCCCGCCCCTTCCCCCAGGCTCGCGGGGTGGGGGTGGGGGGGGCAGGATTCTCGTGATTCGCGGTTGGCTCCACGGGCAGGACCTTTGTCCATCTTGGGGGCTGCGGGAGGCCCAGGCCAGGCTTGGGCCTGCGGGGCGGGAAGGCCGGTTGGAGGGAAGCCAGAAATCAAGAGGGAGACCCACAGACAGGAAAGAGCTAGGACAAGGGGACCGAGACCCGGACCGGAGCCCGAGGCGAGACGGGAGGGCGTTGGCGGGCGGGAGGGGCGGGGACGAAGGGGCGGGCGGGGCGCCGGGCCGGGCGTGCTCGCAGTTGCAGCGGCGGCCGCGGGCGAGCGGACCGCGAGGTAAGAGCTCCCGGGGCAGCCCTTCTCCCTGCGCCCCAGTCCCCCGAGGAGAGCGGGATCCCGCCACCCTGCGGGGACCCCGCGGGACCCCAGCCCGCCGCAGGTGCCCTCGGTCCTACGGTTTCCCCGGAACCCCTGCCTTGCCCTGGGGTGCTAGAGTCCATTGCAGGGGGCGGGGGTGCGGGGGTGCGGGGACAGGAGACCACGCTCACAGGTACCTGGGTGAGAAGCCTCTTGTCCTCAGTTATCTCCCCTTGAAAGTGGAGTCATGACCCGAAGAGCTACCCGCTCCTCTGGAGTTTGGGGAGTTTGGGGCCAGGTGTCTTCACTTCGTCACAGCCCGGCAGCAGCCGCAGGTGAGGAGGTACCATCCTTGTCTCCCTCTTACAGGTGAGGAAGCCAAGACTCCAAGACAGCAACCACTTGCCTTGGGTCACAAAGGAGGCAGAGACAGAACTTAAACCCAGGTTGGTGTGAACCCCTAAATCCATTTATTCCTCATCTCTGCCTTGCCCCATCTCCACCCCAGACTGCAGGGAGAGAAGCAGGGGGCCCGGGGGGGGGGGCATCCTGGAAGGAGGCTGGAAGGAGCCAGCCTGCCTGCCTCTGCAGGAAGAACCCTTAGGGCTTCACACCCCAGCAATGTGTACAAGTTTTTCTGGTCCTTCACCTGGGTGAGGGGTCTGAGAAATTAGAATGGTGGATCGGGGCAGGTTAAACTGCAGGCGTCAGGGGAGCAGGGCAGCCCCCTCCAGGAACTACAAGGCCTTCACTCCACGCCTCCTCCTGGCACAGGAGGCTCTGGTGGGCTCAGCCAGGGGCCTGCACCTCTCCGTGCCTTGGTTTCCTTCTCTGTCCCATGGGGTCAGACAAAGTACCGACCTCACAGGATTGCTGAGAAGATGAAATGAGATGATTGGTATAAAGGCTTAGCCTAGCACCTGGACCAAGCTGTAAGCCCCTCCAGTCCCATGCCACCCCCCCGAGAGCACTGCTCTGTCCCAGGAACCTTTAACCTGAGGCCAGTCAGAGGTGTCTGAGCTCTGCAGTGTTTCCGGGCCAACACCACCTGCGGCTGAAGCTTCTTGAGTAAGACCAAGACTTGGGGTGGCAACTTCTCCCTGCTGCCACCCTTTGTAGGAAAGGCTGGTAGGAGCAAGGGTTTGAAAGTCTTTGGGCTGCAGCTTACACAATTCCAGAACCGCTGTGCATTCCCCAAGCCCTCCCCCACCACTGGTTTAGCAAGAAGGAGGAAGCCCAGAGCATTTTCACTATCTAACCTGCTCTCCTCCTGGTCCTGACACCCAGGCCCACAGTGGGTTCTACCCCTCGGCATGCTCTGTGTTTGGCCATTCCCACCTCACCCCCCCTGGATCCTCAGCATTGCTCGGGCCTGTTTGAGTCTCCACTCTCCTGTCCCCATCACTGTCCCCTCACTTGGCTACCCATTGCAGCCACACTTCTCTCCTTGGAGATGCTGAGTTCTCTGCCCCCTCAGGGCCTTTGCACGTGCTCCCCACCCCACCCCTCCTCCTGGGAATGTTCTTTCCTGCCATCTTCTGGAGGCTTAACCTCCTTGTACCTCAGGACTGCCACAAAAGACTCAGAAGTCTGCCCTGCCCACCTTATTATGGGGGCCATGCTCACCTGCTCTCTGTTGCATTACTGTCTTTCCTTCCCACGCTTAGCCCTGGATCTTGTTCCCTTGCTTATGTGTTTCCTTGGTTCCCCATTTGTCTCCCCGGCTAAATTGTCAGCCTGCCAGGGCCCTGACCTTAGCTTTGGATTCCCTAGAGCCTGGCACTGTCTGTACCTGGCACATAGTAAAAGTTCTGATAATTTTATACAATTGCAAGCAGTGTGTGCAACCATCAGAGGTCTTCCTCTCCTTGCTTAATGGCATTCTTTCTACATTTCTACGCTGACCTCAGAATTGCCATTCCTCCCAACTGCCCATGGCCTCTCTGAGCTTTTCCCTAAAATGGGGCCTGGCACTGTTTCCAGGTTCTAGTCCTAATACCAGCCTCGCTTTAACCATTTTTGTCCAAATTGCAAGGGATTTCTTTTCAGATATAGTTCCCAAACTGTTCAAGTCAAGGATGTGATTATTCTGAAGGCACATGCCACTTATCACCAGATGATGGCTGTTTGGAAAAATCATCCCCAGCAATGTGTACAAGTTTTTCTACAGTACTACAAGCATTGGGTGTTCTTGTTTTTATTTGTTTCATCTGTTTTAATGGGGAGGTGGTGATAGGTTGACATTTTCTGTTGCTTGAATTACTGAAGCTGGGTCTTTTTCAACGTATGCGCTAGCTCTGTTTCCTGTCTTGTGAAGGAAGGAAATCTCCAGGGCACCTTAATTTTTCCCTTCACCTTCACTTGTAGTGATGGTTCCACTTGAGCCCTTCTTGTGAGAGCAGGGTCAGGGCCCCCAGGGGCTGGGACAGGAACTCCTGGAGCCAAACTCTGCCGGTTTCAGAAACCGCTCTGCCAGTCAAGCAGCAAGAGGAACTCTTTGAGAGTCCATCAGCACGGTACCATGGGGAGAGAAAGAACTTTTTTTTTAAGTCTTTGTGAATTTTTTAACAAAATGATAATTTTTTAAATTATGAGAGGAGCACACAGTGTACAGGGTTATTCACTAAAACGTAGAGACACACAAAAGATTGGGAAACAGCCCACGTGTCGACCACCAGTGGGGCCACACATGTTCCCCCAGGGGAATCCTGGGCTGTCCTCCCAAGCAATGCACTCGGTCTCAAGCACGCTGACGTGCGAAGACCTCCAAGATACTGTATTAGTCTCCTGTAGCTGCTGAAACAACTGACCACAATTTGGTGGCTTAAAACAACATAAACATATCACCTTAGCCTTCTGGGGGGTCAGGTGTCCAAAAGCAGTCTCGGTGGGCCAAAATCTAGGCACTGGCGGGGCTGTGTTCCTTCCGGAGGCTCTAGGGGAGAGGCTGTACCCTTGCTTTACCAGCTTCCAGAGGCTGCCAGCATCCCTTGGGTCATGACCTCTTCCCTTCCATCTCCAAAGCCAGCAGCACAAAACCTTCTCCTCTCCCTCTGGCTCCAACCTCAGCTTTCTCGGTCACATCTCCTTCTATGTCCAATTCTTCTGCTCTACTTAATCAAGACCTTTCCGATTACATTGGCCCCACCTGGGGGCTTCAGCATCCTTATCTAGTCACATCTGCAAAGTCCCTTTTGCCATGTGAAGTGACATATGTCCAGGTTCTGAGGAATAGGCCCAGGATGTGTGCATCTCCAGGGTGCCATTATTCAGCCTACCACACCCGGAAGGGAAATAAGCAAGGTTCAGAGCAGAGCGTTGGACTCACATTTGTTTAAGGGAAAAAGAATAAATCTGCATGCGCTTGCCACGGCCTCATAGGAAATGGGTCAGAGTGGCTGTTCCTGAGAAGATGGGGTAGAAGGCAACTCACTCGTCATAGTATATCTTTTTGTATTATTTAAATTTTTACTACATGCCTGTGTCACTACGTTAAAAATAATTTTTAAGAAGTAACACATAGTCATGATAAGAGTTCAGACTGCCCAAAAGCTGAGAGAAGGAAAAAATACCCACCCCACTCCCAAATCACTCCCTCTTTCTCCAGCAGTAACCACTGTGAAGAGTTTGGCTATATCCTTGCAAACTTTTTTTTTAAGATTTTATTTATGTATTTTTAGAGAGAGGGAAGGGAGGGAGAAAGAGAGAGAGAGAAACATCAGTGTGTAGCTACCTTTCACGTACCCCCTACTGAGGACCTGGCCTGCAACCCAGGCATGTGCCCTCACTGGGAATCAAACTGGCCACTCTCGGGAGAGTCTCCCACTGCTCAGATGTACCTTAACTGCACCAAACTGCTGTTGGTGAACATTTGGATTCTTTGCTGCTTTCCAGAGCAATCTCAACACTGCAATCTATATGTCTGGGCGTTTGTTGGTTTTTTTTTTTTAACTTGAAGTGAAGTTCGCATAAAATTAAGCATTATAAATAGTTCAGTTGCATTTAATGCATCGACAACACACCTCTATCCAGTTCCAGAACCTTTTCATCATCCCCAAAGGGAGCCCGGCCCCACTGAGCTCTCACTCCCCACCCCCTCCCCGCTCCCTGGCAACCACTGGTCTTTCTGGCTACAGTTGCATGCTCTGGGTATCGCATATCGGTAGACTCCTATATCAGTAGACTCCTGTCGTCTGTGATGTTTTGCGTCTGGCTTCGTTCGCTTAGCGTAATGTTTTAGTGGTTTGCTGACTCCTCATTTAAAAAAATTTTTTTAAATTTTATTTATTTAATTTTAGATAGAGGGGAAAGGGGAGAAAGAGAGGGAGAGAAACATCAATGTGTGGCTGCCACCTGTGCATCCCACACTGGGGGCCTGGCCTACAACCCAGGCACATGCCCCAACTGGGAATTGAACCGGCAACCAACCCCCACCTCCATTCACAGGCCCATGCTCAATCCACTGAGCTACACCAGCCAGGGCAATTTTTTTTTTTTTTATTGAAGTCTAAATGACCTACAAGACTGTATTAGTTTCAGGTGTATAGCAATGATTCTATATTTATACATATTATAAAAGGTATTTCATTTCTTTCTTTCTGCGTTTGGATGGCGTTCTGTTGTATGGAAGTAACATCCTTTGTAAATCCGTGTACATGGTACCGGACACTTGAGCTGTGTCTGCCTTTCTTTCTGCTGTGGGTATTTGTGTGTGTGCATTTTGCCGAGTGCCTGTTTCGGCTCTTTCGGGTACGTACCCAGGTGTATGTGCCTCCCCATACACTTTGAACTTTACTATTTACTCTTTTCAGACATTTAATTGAGTTTAAAAAATATTTTTAAAATGTGTAAGAACATACTGCCAAGCACACGCTAAAGCAAATAACAGCAGGATGATGGATCTGGACAAACGTTTTACTATTTTCCAGATCTGGAGACGACAGGACAATGGCTACCTGGAACGAAAAGGTAAGATGACCCTGGAGCTTCCTGGCCTTGACCTTCCTTGACTGGCCCTGAGGACATCGTTGAGCGGCATTTCTAACAGGGTAGAGGGGAAATGCCTCTGACTTCCGGTTATTGTGATTAGTCAGAGAAAGGCCCATGGAAACAGCTCAAACTTTCTTCCCTTTGTAGTTCCCTGTTAAGTTAGGCGAACGAAAAGAGCAAGGGGAGATGCTCGATGCTGGGCAGGTGTGGTGAAGCCACCTCCTTCCTAATCTACGGAGGGGCTGGGCCAGCCCACGTGGCCGTCCCGGAAGAAGAGGAGGTGGTGGGTATCAGGAATCATGGAAGTGTTTATGGTCAAACCCGGTCGTCTCACGTACGGGAGAGGAAGAGTCACCCACAGAAAGGAAGAAGAGCAGCTAACTTATGGCGCCGTATTTCTTAGCACAAAAGACTTCATTGGCCGTAGATGCACCCTTATTTATGGACTGCAAAGAAGAAAAGACAGTGCCGCCGGTTATTGTGATACAGTACGACAGCTGACACCGGTCACTTGTAAAACACCCAGATTTCACAACTGTGAAAACATGAGAAAATGTGGTCTTTGACTTGGTGATAAAGGTGCAGGAAACGAGAATCAGAAAACGCAGTCGTGAGAGCAGTGACCCCTGGGTGAGTGTCTTGGCCATTAAAAAGGTGTCAACATGTCTGATACACGTAACTAGTGGAAAAAGCTGGGTACAAAATCTCCTGCAGCCTTTGACTATAATTGTAAGACACTGGATTAGGGAGAGAAGCAGGTAAGACAGGTCGATGAGGATAAGTTTGATGTGGTTGGGATTATTGTGAATTCATTTCCTTTGGCTCACGTTTTCATAGTATTCCTACTGAAACAAATAGATCTTGAGTAAAGGTGTGCTCACTGGGGTGAATGACAGCAGGTGAAGCCAGGGTTGGGGGGTCCAGGCGAGCTGGGGCCCGAATGAAGCTAGGGAGCTTCTGGGACATGTCACAGGGCTGGGGTGGGTATGAGGCCACAGACTGGAGGGGATGCAGAGGCTTGGAATGCAGAACCAGCGCCTCCCTGGGGGTTGGAGCCTGTTTGTCAGTCAGCACAGGGGGCTGGTCCAGCGGTACTGTGGGGAGCTGGGGAATATCGGGGCCAGGACCACTTGTAGCAAATAAGCCTCTTAACTGATTCGGAGAACAAGTTCCTTTCAGCGCTCTTATGGAGTTTTGTGTTTTTAAAAAAAATAATAACTTTTAATAGGATTGCTTTTAGGAGCTTTGTAATTTTCCAGCTCTCCTGGTTTTTGAAAGAAAAACAACTGTGTTATAGGGGAAACTGGTCGGGTGTTTAGCCAAGGTTCAGTCCTGGTTTGCTGTAGCCAACGCTGCTGAGAGGGGCTGAGCGGGCTGGGGACACCTGCCCTTCTCACAGAGTCCCTCTCTGCACCCTCCCACCTCTCTGGGCCTTTGTTTTCCTCTTCTGCAAAATGGGAACAAGAACTCCCTGCTAAGTCATGGTGAGGATGAAACAAGAGTGTGCATGGAAAACACTTGGCAGGATGCCCAACCACAGCGAACACTCAAACTCGGGGGCCGTGGCCTTGGTCATGAGGGTAAGCTGGGTTTGCAGCCCATCAGCTGACCTATTTCTCGTCTCAGATGATTGCATGTCGCCAGCCACCTCTCGGAAACATGGGAGCCAGAGGTGCTTAGAAAGCCCTGTAGCCCTTTGGCTCATTTCTCATGAGGCCTCATGCTGGTTCTCAACCTGGGCTGCGCATGGCAGACCCCGACACCCAGGCCACTGCCAGGCCAACGGAATCATAATCCTGGGGCCCCAGGGCTCAGACATCGGGGTTCTTTAAAGCTTCTGTGTGGTTCCAACGTGCAGCCAGGACAAACAGCCACTGGTTAGACTGCGAGGCAAGAAAAGTAAGTGCCTCGAAGTGTTTATCCTGACCTCTCGGCTGGCCCCAACGTCTCTAAGACACTGGGGGGTGGGATCGCCCAGATGACTCATTCACACTTGGGATAGGTCTTGGTTTCTAGCTGGATAACTTCATTTTTTTTCTTCCTCTGGTTTCATTTTCTTTCTTTGCTTTTGTAAACAGAAGAAAGTGGCTCTGGGCCTGGTGGCCTGGATCAGAAACCAAGCTCTGTTTCTCACTGGCTGTGTGACCTGGGGCATGTTGCTTGGCCTCTCTGCTCCCCAGTTCCTCACCTGTCGATGGAGACTCAGGCCCCCACTTCATGGAGTTTTTGCAGTGTGATTTAAAGGGCTTTGCACAGAACTCAGAAATGGCATGTGCTCCAGTTATGATCACTGAGATTTCCAGGGCTGTAGGTATTAGCTCCCACATTGTGCCCACCCAGACTCGTGATTGTCTTGCTGGGCTGGCAGAGTCTTATCAAGACAGGAGGGACCCTGACCCTGCAGGGGAAGGAGAGAAGTGATGCAGTGCCGGGCTCAGGTGGAGGGGTGGAGGGAGGGGGGTACCTGGGCTGCCAGCAGTGCACAAGCAGCAACCTCCTCCCCCAAAGCTGGTCAGCTGTCACCAGTGGTTGTTTCTGTGAACCTCAAACTTCCTCTCCGCCCTAGAGAAGGAAAAACTGTTACGCTTATTTAAAGACTTCCCTGATTTTAAAAATAGGCATTCCTCAGAACACAGATCCCCAGGGGCTAGGGGTGGGGGAGGGGATCTTTCTGCCAGGGATGCAGCCGCCCGCCAGGTGTGTTTAGTGGGAGACCTGCAGGATACAGCCTGAGCGGGAGCCCACCTGGCCTCTGCCCTGATGGGGGCGACACACTCCCAACAGACACAGACAGGTGGACCTGAACCCACTGTGGGGGGAGAGAGGAGCCCGGTGTGAGTGCAGAGGACGGGGTACCTAGTCAGCTTCCGGGAGCAGGGATGCTCAGGATGCTGGAGAGAGACCTCCTGAAGGGGGGAAAGGAGATGAATGACAAAGTGGAAGAGCGGTGGGAATTTCAGGCAGAGGAAAGTCACAAAGGTCCTGTGGTTGAAGGAACTTATTGAGTGCAGAGGGCTGAGCAGAGACACAAGGGGCCGACAGAGAGGAGGGTGGTGGAAGGCAAGATCGGACAGGCAGACGCAGGCCTGAGCATGCAGAATGGGCCTCCGGCAGGCCCCTGGGTCTTTATTTTTAACAGCAGTGGGAAGGACTCCGGAGAAGAGTTTTTAAATAAGGGAGCACGTCAGAGCTCCCCGAGTTCACCCCAGGCTCAACGTTCCACTCGGGGAGCTCATGGAACTCAGCATACAGTTGGACGGTGGGCTGTGATTTATTGCAGCAAAAGGGCACAAATTAAAATCAGCAAAGGGAGAAGGTGCATGGGGTGACGCCCAGAGGAAACCAGGTTCCAGCTGGGGTCACACAGGCCACATTAATTCCAGGTGGCTCTGAATTTTAGGGTGACCACAGTTCAACCCCTCACATCCTCCTTGGCACACAGCTGCCCAGCGACTGGCCGCCTGGCTTTTTCTGGGCCACGTGTTCTGAAGAGTCACACAGCACAGGGGGGCAGATCCTGGCTCGTCCATTTTCCAAGTGTGTGACTTAGGATGTGGCACCTCCCTTGCCAAGGCCCCAAATTGTGGCCTGGACCTCAGAGGGTTGTGTCAGGAATGTAAATGAAACGGCGCCTGTCAGTAACTTAGGGTTATGCTAATATAACAAATAACATCACTACCAATGAGTAACAGTAGATGCTGCTGCTATTGTGTCTTGTTGGAGGTTTGGGGATGGGGTTTTGATTACAAGCACATCAAGTCCCCAAAAGTTGAGCTCTGAGAGGGAACAGGAAAATGGGGAATTAAAAGACATTGGGCCCTGGGAATCGGGAATCAGCTGAATTTCTTAAAGAATGCCATTTCATGTAGTGGGGGCTTCCCCTCTGACAGATGCAGCCTGAGCCTGTAAAAATAGTTGTCTGTGAGGACACGTTTTCTCCATCTCTTCTAGGTCTCTCTCGTTGCTTCCCTCTCTCCCAGACAGTAGTGGTTGTTCTGGTACAATACCTGTCACGTGGAAAAGCCGGATACGCACCTGTGGGGTTTTGGTTAATTCGTCTATTGTTGAGCCCCTCCCTGTGACCGAGGGAGGAAGTGTCTGGTCCCCCCCGCACCCCCCCAGAGGTGGCAGGCCCGGGCAAGAGACAGGCAACTCCGAGAGGCATAGTGCTCGTGAGTAAGTGGTGTGATAGGGACATAGAGGAAGGACTCTTAGCCCAGGGGCAGCAGTTAAAGAAGGCCTCCCAGGGGAGGTGAAATCTAGATGTCCGTGAGGCCTGAAAGAGGACCAGGGTGAGACAGGCAGAGGGTACCCGAGGCTGGGAGGAGACCAGGGCCTGGGGAGCCCCAGAGAGCTCTGCCCTCGTCCTGCAGGCAGCAGTGGGCAGGCATGCAGGTGGAGGGACTGACGGCAGTGGTGGGGGCAGATGGGAAAGGTGGGCAGTGGAGAAAGGGGATTCTGGCCTCCGCTGTGTGGAGGACGGATGGGGGCAGGAGGCCGCATGGGGAGGCAGGTACGGGTGTCGAGTTGGTCAGAGGGAGTTAGATGGAGAAGAGGTGGAGGGTGAAGGGCGTTGAGGGGGTGACATTGATGAGTTTGAGGGAGAGAGAGGAGGTAGGGATGGCCATTGGCTCTGGGCTTGGGCAGCAGGATGGCTATGATATCACACCCTAGGGGAACATGGAAGAAGGAATGGATACGGGGAAAGAATAAGAAGTCCATTCAGTTTAGCCCTGGCTGGTGTGACTCAGTGGATTGAGCCTTGGCCTGTGAACCAAAGGGTCACTGGTTCAGTCCCCAGTCAGGGCCCACACCTGTGTTGTGGGCCAGGTTCCCCAGTAGGGGGCATGCGAGAGACAGCCACTGGTTGATGTTTCTTTCCCTGTCTTTCTCCCTCCCCGTCTCTAAAGATAAATTTAAAAAATACATAAAGTTCATTCAGTTTGGGTCACAGCAAACTCGGGCACAATACCTGATGCCTGGCTGAGACTTTGAACATGAACAGCGTTGAGACCACAGGTGTGTGGTGCCCACTAGAGATGTGCACCAGGCCAGGGTCAGGGTGTCCAGGATGTCAGATGGCGTGGGGGCAGGGACATGGTACAGGACACTGAGAAGGGCGGCCAGAGATAGGGGGAAAATCAAGAGGCGAGATTGTCAAAAAGAACCGAGTTAGCAGTGTGGCAGGGTGTGGTGCAGTCACGCAGGCGGGGACCACAGTCGTGGGCTCTGGTAGGAAGGTGACCCCAGTGAGTAGGGTCAGGAGGTAGCGGGACTGCGAGGGTTAATGCAGGGGAGATGCAGGCGGGGGTTTCCAGTGCCAGGAGACCCTACTGGCCTGGGCTCTTGGGCTCTTCGGGTTGCAAGTGACAGACACGCCTCAGTCCGTCAGCTCATGTGAATGGAAAGGCTGGGGGTTGGAGGCCAGCAGGAGGCAGCAGCAGAGAAGTGAAGCATCCGCAGGTGGCGACGCAGTCTGAGGGGTGGGGATGAGAGTTTGCGAAGTTGAGGAAGAAAGATGGCGGTCACCGGGAAGGGCCGCTGCTGCAAGCTGGGCGCTGAGGCCAGGGCTGTGCCCACTGTCCGAGTCAGCCCTTCCTTCCAGAGCAGCGGAGAGTCCAGCGTGGGTGGTGAGCTTCAGAGAGGCCCACAACGTTTTCACGGCGCCCTATATTTTGGCCCCTTTCTGGAACTTTTCTGCTTCTGAAATGACAGATTTTTTGACTTAAAACCAGAGTTTTCTGCTCTGCTGGGCACCATAAATATTTTCATTCCAAATTACTAAAAGTTGCCTCTTTCCTGACCACAAGGTTTCAGAAAAAAATTCCCTGTCCTGTAGAGTATAAATGCGGTTTTTGCAAGGTGCCCGCAGGCTCCCACCACACTGAAAACTAGCACCAGAGGGTTCCATCTGCCAGATGGGGTGTTTGGGGGAAACGTGGCCAGTAGCCCCCCCAGAAGGCCACAGGGGAGCCCCAGCCTGGCCCTTGGCCAGCCCTGGGAACCAAGTGATGGAGAGTCCCGCCCGAGATGAGCCTCACTTCCACCTGGGAGACCGGCTGCTAGCGCCCTCAGCCAACAGGGTGAGGCCCCTGTTCAAAGTCAGGGGTCAGGTGAGACTCTGCAGGTACAGACTCTACCTTCATGGAACTTATATGCCAGTGTGGAGCAAGAGATAATAAACAAACAGCCCCCCCACGCAAAAAAATATTTCCAGTTAGAAACTGTGAGAAGGGCTCTCAAAGGGAAAAATAAAGACTATAAAGAGAGGTTAGAAAATCCAGAAGGGCTCTGACTTAGATTTTAAGGGTCAAGAAGGGCCTCTCGGAGGAGGGGACGTTTCGGCAGAGGCTTCCAGCATGAGGAAGAGTGAGCCAAGCTGGGAGTGGGGAGAGAACATTCCAGATTGAGGGAAGAGCCCACATGAGGCTTAGAGGCGGGGAGAGTGGCATGTTGGAGGGACAGAGGGTGGCCAGCGTAGCTGGAGTGTGGTCACGCGGTAGGAGATGAGGCCAAACCTCTCCGGGCCACGTACATCACTGGAAGGATCTTGGATGTTTATTCAAAGAGCAAAGGGCAGGGGGCAGTGATATGGTCAGAGGCGTGGGTTTGTAAAACCCCCTCAGGCTGCTGGGTGGAGAATGTGCTGGAAGAACTGGATGGAAGGAGGGAGCTGGGTCGGCAGCTGTTGCAGTGTTCGGGACCAGAGGTTGGAGGCTTGGCCGAGGTGGTGGCGGAGGAGGAAGTGGAAGGTGGGGGCGGGAGAAGAGAGCCACACAGGCCCCAGGATCCTGGGGGGGGGGGGTCAGAAGGTTAACTCCTGGGAGGTGGTGAAGGGGTCACTGGTTCTCCTTGGGTCCCTTAGCACCTGAGGAAGTCTCAAATCAGAGGCTCCCTTTTACACTCACCATGTTCTTTAAGATTTAACCACATAGCAATATTCATTCAGTCACTTAAATATCTGAATGGTTGAGTGTCCGTTAAGTGCAAGGAACTGAGGGGACAGTGACAGGAAAAGTCCCATTTTTTTCTCATGGAGCGCACAGTTCCGTTGGGGAGGCAGATACTGAACAGATAAACAGGTACATTCATAATGTTGAACAGCAGCAAGTGCAAATAGAGATAAATGAAGCAGGACAAGGGGAAAGCCATGCAATAGGGGAGGGCGGCCAGTCAGACTCTCAGAGGAGGTAACATTTGAGCAGAATCCTGGTGTAAAAGGAGGTATGAGTCGTGCAGGTGTCTCGGGGAAGAGAATTCTAGGGAGAGGCACTTGGGTCTGCTGAAAAATCATTTGAGGGTTCCAAGGATGGACATGTGACACTCTCTCATTTATGTTTGAGAAGGTTCTTTCTGGTTGCTGTGTGGAGAGTGGACACTGGGAGGAGGCGGGGAGGCTGGTGCAAGAGATGGCAAGAAATGATTGGTTGGAACCAGGGATGGATAACAATGGAGATGGGAGTAGTGGCCTTACCTGGAGTGTTATTTGAAGGTGTAGCCGACAAAATTTACTGGTAGGGGCAAGTGTTGAGAGTGAGAGAAAGGAGGGTCAAGAATTATGCCAAGGTTATTGGCCTAAGGAAGCAGACCAATGAAATGCCGTCAGCTGAGATGGCGAAGGTTTGGGTGATGAGTGAATACTGTTTTGGACATGCAAGGGTTTAAGATAGCTGTTAGGGCCTTGGCTGGTGAGGCTCGGTTGCTTGGAGCATCGTCCTGTGAACCGAAAGTTTGCAGGTTCGATTCCCAGTCAGGGCATGTGCCTAGGTTGTGGGATCAGCCCCTGGTCAGAGTGCATACAAGAGGCAACCAATGGATGTTTCTCTTTTACATCGATGTTTCTCTCTCTGTCTCTCCCCCTTTCTTCCCCTCTCTCTAAAATCAGTAAGCATGTCCTGGGGCAATGTTAAAAAAAAAGGTAGATGTTAGGGTAACGAACAGTGATGTCCTATGTATGAGTGGTGTCATGTCTGGAATTCAGGTGAAGGACTGGGACCGGAGACAGTGTTGAACAGCAATGCATCCTCTATGTAGAGGGGCCTTTAAAGCCACGCTGCCGGGTGAGATCCCCTAGGAACGCAGTCCGGAGAAGAGAGGTAGTCACAGGCCCGAGCCCTGGCCTCCTCTCGCGGGGGTGTCCAGCCTTTGGGCGTCTCTGGGCCACACTGTAAGAAGTTTTCTTGGACCACACGTTAAATACATTGCCATACGTAGTCACAGAATCTACCCATTTCTTCGGGGTTTGGTGTCTTCTTTAAGCAATTTTCCCCTGTCCCGAGGTCACGAGGATACTTGTCTGTATTTCGCTCTAAGACTTTTGAAGTTTTTTAAAAGTACACTTATCTTTGTTAATGCTAATGCCACCGAAATTGGTTCTGTGTGTGGTGGGGAATGGGGATGGGCCCTTTATTCATCCAGCCTCACCGGCCTTTCCTACGGACCCGGACTGCCACCACCAACCCACTCAGGTTCCCACGGGGCCCGGGTCTGCTTTGGGCTCTCTTCCCCTTGTCCTCGGACCACATTGCCTAGTACCCGTACCCAGAAGTCTTCATTACCGAACTTTACTTTTTTTAAAGACTTTATTTATTTTTAGAGACAGAGGGGAAGGGAGAAAGAAAGAGGGAGAGAAACATCAATGTGTATTTGCCTCTCACACGCCTCCTACTGGGGACCTGGCCTGCATCCGAGGCATGTGCCCTGAGTGGGAATCCAACCAGCAACCCTTTGGTTCTCAGGCCGGCACTCTGTCCACGGAGCCACACCAACCAGGGCCATTATTGAACGTCATAAAAAATGTATTATCTGGGTAAAGAAGGGAGGGTTCTTTGCTTTTTGCTTTGAAGTCATCTGCCTTTAAACAACCTTCCACAGTATATTTAAAACCTCACTGGCTGAACCTAGGAAGAATTCATTTGTTTCTCACCTTTCAAGCATCATTCTGCGGCATGAAGTGGGGTTGGGGATGTTCACTTTTCTGTGAAACTCTGAGTACTTTTACTTCTGGCCTCCCCTCCCTCTTCCAACTCTCACCTCCGGTTTTTCAGGCTGTGATGTCTTTGAACCATGAGGCTGTTCTTCCAGCCTTTGCACGTGGGCCTGTGGCGTGTAATTTGTCACTGGGCTGTAATGCCAATGCCGTTGGCTCCTGCCAACCAGACCACAGCGACAGGCCTGATGGGGTCTGGTGCTTCCTGTTGCCTCACCGGCACTGAGAATCTGGTTTCCAAAAATAAAAGCCCAAGAAACCACCGTGACCTCACAGCCTCTGTGCTCACTCGGGGCCCTGAGCCCCAGGACTGTCGTCACGCCTGTGGCCCAGCCCAGTGGGGGCCCCACTCCCTGCCAGAGAGACAGGGGTCCGAGTGGTCTGGACGGGCTCTGTGGACTGCCCTGCTAGAGCACTCACTCTCGGTCCCCTCCCTTTAGACAGTCACTCGCAGGGCCAAGGTGGCTCCCGCGGAGAGGATGAGCAAGTTCCTGAAGCACTTCACCGTCGTCGGCGATGACTACCATGCCTGGAACGTCAACTACAAGAAATGGGAGAATGAAGAGGAGGAAGAGGAAGAGGAAGAGCAGCCGTCACAAAACCCCAACTCCGGCGAGGAGGGCAGAGCTGCTGATCCAAACACCGCCCCCGCCTCCCCGCCCAAGCGCCCCCTGGACTTCAAGGCCACGTTGAGGAAGCTCTTCAGCTCCCACAGGTTTCAGGTAGGTGGGCAGAGGCCTGAGGTGCCCGGGGTGGGGCACAGCTGTCAGCTGAGAGTCACGAGGCCAGGGCGGGGGCCCATCTGGGGCCACTGCCTCATTCACGGTGCACATGCCCGCCGAGCACTGACCACGCGCCAGGTGCCCAGATGGCACTGGGCACGTGGGGCAGGTCCCCTGCTGTTAGGGATTGAATAAATCATAACTCAAAGGTTCATCCTCTGATGAAAGGCTAAACGAAATGTGGTCTATCCATACGTGGCCATGAAAAGGAACAAAGCCCTGACACCGGCTACAACGGGATGAACCTTGAGAATGTGATGCTGAGTGAGAGATGCCAGACACCAAAGGCTATGTATTGAGGGATTCCATTGATACGAAATGTCCAGAACCGGCCAGACCTTAGAGACGGGGAGTGGAATGGTGGTATTCACAGGTAGGAGGGAGGGAAGAATGGGCGGTGACCGCATGGTGGCTACAGGGCTCCCGTTTGGGATGATGAAAATGTTCTGGAACTACGTGGTGGTGACGGTCCCACAACCGTGGGGACGTATCGAATGCCGCTGAACTTTATGCCAACTTTAAAATGCTGAAAATGGTAAATTTTGTGTTATGCAAATTGTCCCACACACATAGTCACCAAGTAGATTAAAGGGTGAGCATCGGAGGCAGAAAAAACATGCCTGCATTTACTCAGCAAGCGTTTTGTGCCACCTCTGAGTTAACAAGGCCGAGAGGGTCCCATGCCTCGCCCACTTGTCGCCATGGGGGGCGCCTCAGGCTCTTCTTGTGTAGGCCGATGCGTGAAAGATTGACCAGCTTTAACACGCTGCCGACTTCCCAGGTGTGGTTACGGGGAGGACAGGGGAGGGGGATGTGGACTTCAAAGAACAGCAGGGGGCATGAAGCTTTCTGCAGAGTCCAGGGTCTGTCCTCACAGCTTCTGATTTTTGAAGGACCAGTGCAGGTTGAGTCTGGCCAGCCCTCTGAACCCCACCCCCCAGCCCTCAGGTGGGCCAGCCGGTGTCAAGAAGCATGTCTGAGTCACAGGAGAATGCAGGAGGCCCAGGGACACTGGGAGGCACGCAGCCCCTGGTCAGCCCAGTTGCCAAGTGGAGCCCTTTTGGGGACCCTGCCCCGAGATAGTCCAGTTCCTACCAAGAGCCAAGGTCCTTCCTGGAAGCAGAGAGAAGCAGCCCCCCCGCCTCTCCCATCACTGACTTTGTTCCCGGACAAAATAGGAAACATTTGTTTTGGGCTTTTATTGCTTTCGTGTGGCCTAGGGGAGAAATGCAGGCCCAGCCACCCCGCGCAGTGCTCTGCTCTGTGGTGGTGACAGCAAAGGAAACGTGGCATTAAGTTGTTGGGGTTGAAATCCCAAACCCTCAATTTCAGGAGCAGAAGGAAGGAGCCAGCTTCCTGCCAGCTGCAAGGGGAGCCCTGGCCCCTGCTCCCCTGGGAGGTTCCCCTCTCTCCTGACTCCACCCACCAGGCCACATGGGCTGGGCCCTCCAGAGACACTAGTACTGGGGGGAAAGAGGACTGTCATAAAATAAGTAGAGATGTTTATCCGTTCACCTAACAGTCGTTTCTTAGCACGCGTGGGCTGGGGACACAGCGGCGAGCGTGGTGGACACGTCCCAGCCTTCACTCACACGGAGGATGCGAGCTCAGCCAGGCAGTCGTTCCAGAAATTAGCCAGACAGAGGCTGGCCACTAGAGGATAGAAGCCCTTGGCAGGCAAAGAGAAGGGGGCTGTGAGAGTCCCGGGGTCAGGGAGACCTGACTAGGATTGGGGGGTGCGGAGGACTGTGGTGGAGGAGGTGACCTTCCCCCCAAACCTGCAGGCTGGGCAGGAGTGAGCTCCATGCAGGGGAGCAGGGAGCTCTGCAGGCAGATGGCCATGCTGCTCAGGGCCCCAGGTGGCTGAGTGTGTGCAGTGGTTTGGGACTTGAGAAGGGTCCACGTGGCACGTGTAGAGTGAGAAGAGGGGCCGCTTGGCAAGAGAGGAGTCACCGTAACATCATCTTCCCTGGGCAGTGGGCAGCCATGGAAGGTCCTCAGTGTGGATGAGATGGGGGTGACAGGAACAGATTTAAAGAGGGGCTCAGGGTAGCAGCAGGGAGGCCACCTCAGTGTAGGAGATACAGGTTTGGGGATTTGAGCTCTGGCTGGAGGGCCAGCATAAAGAAAGTTCTGGAATCCCTTTCTTAGATGCAATCACCCCTTGTTCCACATGGGTTGAGTTGGCCAAGGTGACGTGATGTATAGTTTTGACTGCTGTCACTTCTCAGATGGGATGGCACAACCAAGAGAAAAAATACAGGGTGTGTCAGGCCTGCATGGAAACCATGGTGACATGGTAACCGGGCCAGCGGACCACAGCCGTGAAGATGGGGAGCTTCACATTTATTACCAGCTCCCTGTGGCGTGGCTGGGCCCTGTGCTAAGCACCGCTCATTGCCTCATGTAATACTCTGTTGTCGCTCTGGGGTGGAGAATGTGACCAACCCCCTTTCCCCAGCAGGACACTGAAGCTTAGAGTTAAGGCTGAGGCTCAGCAGAGTTGGGAGCTGTGTGCAAGGTCCAGGCCAAGGTGGGAGCCGGGAGCTGGCCCAGGACCGGCCGCCCGTAGCCTGCACACGGACCACCGCATTCTGCAGCGGCTGCGGCCATCTTTGCCGGGAGGATTTGGGATGAGCCAGCCTCCCTGAATTCTCAGGATTTTTCTGTGTGTGTGACTCCCCTCAGAAATAGTACTGCCTTGTGAACTGGCAGATTCCGAGTCATGGGGTTTTTAGTTCACAGAGGCCCGGGTGGTGAGCCAGGCTTTGTAGTTCTGTGACCTTGAGCTTGTCTGCCTCTCTTCAGAGGTGAGAGTCATATGGCATAAGGTTCAACATTCCAAATGAATAATTCTGTGGCATTTATGTAGCACATTTCACAATGTCGTACAGCCATCACCACTATTTCACTCCAGAGTGTGTTTGTCGCCCTGAAAGGGGAGTCGGTCCCCAATAAACAACCACCTCCCAGCCCGACAACCACTAACCTGAGTCTGTAGTGTGCTGTTGAGGGCATTTCGCAGGAATACAGTCATACAATACACATTGTCCTTTGTGTCTGACATCTTTCACGTTAGCACAATGTTTTCTAGGCTCGTGCCCAGTGTAGCATGTAGAAAAGAAATCACTTCATTTCTTTTTATGGCTGAGTAGTCAGTCTTTTTAATATTCCTGTGCCTTGGTTTTAAGTCAGACCCCCTTTGCTCTAAAATAAAACGAAGGAGGAAGAAAGAAAAAGAATAGGGGAAAAATACCCACCAAAAGCTGGAATCTTTATTAAGCTGCTGAATTTGGGTATGTGTGAGAACTTCATTGAAAAGCAGTTGGCCATGCAATTTCACCATAAACCATGTCATCAAATAATTTCACTGCTGAAGTAATTAGCTACAGGTTGAAGTGCTCAAAAGGTTTATAGTCCATTCTTATGTAGGCCTGAATGTGTAGAATTTCACCCTGAAACTGCAGAAACTGCCAAGGTAAAGGCAAGATTAGCCCCCGGAGGCCGGAGTCCATGCCTTGGAGAGCGTAAGAGGCAAGGCCCTGGCGGAAGCAAGTGGGGGCCCGTGGGCTCCAAAGGAAGAAAGTCGCATGGTGTCCTCTGGGGTTCCTCCCATTGTTGCCATTTCCATCACCAGCATGTTGTCCCCATGGTCTCCCTGAACACTGTCACCTCCACCCTACCACTAGTGTCCTCACCAGAGTCATCACCACCTCCGTCACCATGACCACTACCATTGTTGAGATCACCCACTCACTCCACCCCAGTCCCTTCCACCCTCTTCTGCCAGCAGGCCCTGACACTGTCCTCCTTTCTCTTTTCTTTAACATCGTCTTTCTGACAGCTGTTCTCAGTTCTCCATGTGATCAGGGCAGGGCCCGCGGGGCCCTGGACTGAAGCTGTTCCGTGTGCACAGTGGGCAGCGCTGTGACCTGCCCGGAGGGGGCAGTCCCCGCAGGTTCCCTCCGCAAGTCCCATCCTCGAGGCTGGATGTGTTTAATTATTTACCGAGAATCTTTTCTGGGCTCACCCTAGCAAGAGCAAGTCACAGAACTAGAAAAGTAAAAATGTGCCGGACCTTTGTCACTACCTGTTCTTTTGCCATTTAGGAATTAGCTGCCTGGTTTGACAGAGGCCGAGGAGCAGGGAACGGATAGGAAAGAGAAGGGCAGTGACAGTGACAGTAACAGTGACAGAGGAGCAGTGAGTGAGCTGCGTGGGGAAGTTCCGGGACAGGCACTGGTCGGAGGTGGACAGGCCCGGAAGTTGGCAAGGAGGCAAGGAGGCTGGCGAGGCTTCTGCTGCTTCTGTAGAAAGGAGCCGGCCCCCAGCAGGCTCCCTGCGGGGTGCCCGGGCTATGGTCAGCAGCCTCCCATTGTTGGCATTTTCCCCCAGTGGTGCCATCCAGATGCTTCAAAACCAGCCCTTTAAAGATGGGATGAGGGCCCTGGCTGGGTAGCTCCTTTGGTTAGAGCATCACCCTGATATGCCAAGGTTGCGAGTTCAAGCCTCAGTCAGGGTATATATAGGAAGCTTCCAATAAGTGCATAAGTAAGTGGAACAATAAATGGATCCTTTTTTTTTCTTTCTCTCTCTTAAAAAAAATCAATTAAGAAAATTAAAGATGGGAGGCGGGTCTCCAGCTCGGTCTCACGGCTTCCCGCTCCTTGCCTCGGCCCACAGGTCATCATCATTTGCCTGGTCGTTCTGGACGCCCTCCTGGTGCTGGCCGAGCTCATCCTGGACCTGAAGATCATCCAGCCCGACAAGAATAACTACGCCGCCAGGGTAGGCGTTCACCAACCTTTTCATACAGTTCATCACTTCTGTGATCCGCACCGTGGGGGGGCGGAGTGGGGCAGAAAACCCCGCCTAGAAGCCTCCTCGGAGAAGAGTTTGGGTGCTTTTAGTCAGAGGGCAGAGGAAACGTCTTCCTTTCCAAACTGTAGATAAGCATTGACTACAAGCAGGAAACTTTCCCCTGTCATCTGATGGGTATCCCGGGCCACGGGGCCCAGCATGTCTCTGATTCCAGAGGGAGGACGACCCTTTCCCACCCCCTGGAGGCCGAGTGCTGTAGACAAGCCGATGGGGCCCCCAGGCTGGAGCCACTGGGGGATGTGCCACCGTTAGTCCCCTCACAGTTCCTGCCCGAGGCCCCTCCCAGACATTCACCCAAGGGACAATGGATGCCCCACGGGACACAGCCTTTTCTTGATTTTTTTAAAGTGGTGGGGTTTTTTTTTTTAGATTTTATTATTTTAGAGAGAGGAGAAGGGAGGAAGAAAGAGAGGGAGAGAAACATCAATTGGTTGCATCGTTCACACTCCCAACTGGCCTGCAAAGCCCTGACCAGGAATCGAACCGACAACTTTTTGATTCGAAGGCTGGTGCTCAATCCACTGAGCCACACCAGCCAGGGCTGAGACAGCCATTTAAAACAAAACAAAACAAAACTTGGGGACATGCCTTTGTAAAAAAAACAATTCAGTTGATAATGTGAAAATGTCCTTTCAAGTGTAAAAGGGAGGGAAGAAAATAAACATCCTTCCTATTCGTGGCTTCTTTCCCGAGGCAGCTGTTAGGTTCTCTTCTGTGGCCAGCCCCAGTCCTTCTGGAGATGAATTTCTTTTCTCTCCTTCTATTTGTCTAACAGAATCAGTAACATCCCTGCTATACTTTCTTGTGCCTTTCTTTTTCCTCAATGTTTTATCATGAAAAAATGGCAAATATACATTTTGCTATATTTTCTTTCTATCTCTGTATATTCACAAACACACCCATATAATTACTGTCTGACCATTTGAAAGCTAGACATCCTGACACTTCACCCCGAAAAACCTTGATACGCATAAGAAGGTCCTTCTCTTACAGAACCATATCTTACAGAACCATATAGCATTATCACTCCTGAAAAATAATCACTTCCATAGTATCTAATAACCAGTTAGCATCCATTGATGAGCACTGGCTGATCAGTGATACAGTTGGGGAGGCAGACTTTTCAAACTCTGTCTTCTATATCACGTGGTTGTTCTAAGGAGCAGCTTTCCTTCATTTTCCTGGGTGAGTGCATGTGTGTGCGTTTACCCCTTGCTGTGGACTCATGGGTTTTTTTGTGAATGTACTCAGTGTATTACACTCATAGTCATTCTTTTCAATATTCAAATTGTCCCAAACTTGGTCACGGTGAGCCTCCAAGCAGACTGTTGGGTCCTTCTGACGTGACTGCATCGTCTTTGAGCATTTCCTTGCTTTCGGGCCCAAGGTGCTGTCCCAGCTGACTTTGAACTTTCCCTGCCCCGGAAGGGCAATTGTTACTTTAGTAAAGACCAGTGTTGAGACATCAAAATCGAGGAACTCTCCGCTCAGCGTCTGCCTTGGTGATCATTTCTAGTCAGTCCACGGGGACCAGCCCTGGTCTCTTTGACAGTCCGTGCAGTGCTCCAGAGGGAGGTGCCATAAATGCATTTGACACCTGCCCTCTAAGGAATATTATAGTTTTTCTACGAAACGCGTAGAAACTCTTTTGCTTTGCAAATGATGCTGCAGTAACCATCCTTTCAACATGTCTTCACGCACACGAGTTTCGTGTGGGTTAAATTCCTAACAGTGGCGTTGTCCCTGGACCGAAGGGGTCCGTTTGCCTGCCCGTCCATCAAAGCCCAGTAGGATACGAGCAGGACTCTGCAGCCAAGAAAGTAAGGATTTACGGAGGAGATGGCGCCATGCTCAGAGGCACGGGTGCTAACACTCAAAGACCTGACTCCCCACAGCTTCCAGGGGATGGACTTTATAGGGACGCAGTCATCATTCATGGTACCTAGAAGAGTTAGGGTTGTGGTCCCTACTGATTGGTTGGTGCTAGGGGAGAGGTAGTAGATTGTTACATCTGCTCCTGCTGTCAGCCATGGAGTCACTGTGATTTCGTAAGGCCTTGTTCTGGGACATCGTTCCACATTCCCGGGTCCAGAGCTGAAACACAACCAGGGCCAAGAGGCTGTCTTCAGTTTGATTGGAAACTGTCTGTAGTCAACAGACCCAGGACCCTGTTCCCAAAACGACTGGGTGCTGACCAGAACCCCACTGTCCCGAGAGCTTAATGATTAAATATGGGAGGAGGAGGGTGGGTCAGGGGGCTGCGTGAGGCCAGTTTGAGTCAATGGAAAACAAAACAAAACAAAGGAAAAGGCCAGATGGAAGGAAATAAGGGGTCTGCCCGGTCATGGCATCGCTATGCCAATAGGCATGGCGGCTGTTTTCAGAGCTGCCCATCACCTGATTGTCCCTCGGAGAGCAGAGCCGAGTCCTGGCTGTGGTGCGCGCGGCTGTCACCAGCCCGAGAGCAGGGCCTGCTGCCGGCAGGGGTTTGGGGCTGGTCAGTGGAAGACATGTCCTCCTGGTGGCCCGGCAGGTGCACCCAGGGCCGGCAGGTCTGTGCGACCTGCGCTGGGCCGGCTCCGTCTGCTCTCACCGTGCTTCCTTGTCCCCTTCAGGTGTTCCACTACCTGAGCATCGCCATCTTGACCTTCTTCATGATGGAGATTGCCTCTAAAATATTTGTTTTCCACCTGGAGTTCTTCCACCACAAGTTTGAAATCCTGGATTCCATCGTCGTCGTGGTTTCGTTCGTCCTCGACATCGTCCTCGTGTTCCAGGAGCACGAGTTCGAGGCTCTGGGCCTGCTCATCCTGCTCCGGCTGTGGCGCGTGGCCCGGATCGTCAACGGTACGTCCCCTGCGCTCCCGGGGCACAGGATGGGGAGACGGTGTATGTGCAGAGGCTGCTGGTCATGGTTTCCACGCTGATTTCCCCCTCCGCCTCCTCCCTGCAGTCTAGAGGAAAGTGGAGTCATCTGGTTGGTGTCCTACTGCCACCTCTGTGGCCGTGGCTTGACGCCGAGACATGTGCTCTGAAAGGAGATACCTTTCTCCCATAGACCCTACTTCCTTGATTGTTGGGTGTTTGTGGGAAGGTTCAGGTTAATCCTTGTAGTGCTTTATCAAACCGTATCCCACCTTGGGAGGGGCACCATCCCAAAGGGGTGCAAGGAAGCTGAAAAACACTGGACACCCACCTGACTCCGCCCCCTTTGAAGTCACAGCACGCGCCAGCGTGATGAAGGCTCTGAGAACTGGAGCGTTTTCCAATTGACCCACTTGGCATATTCTGGGGACGTAATACCTGCTTTGGACCCTGGGAAGCACTGCTTGTTTGTACCCTCCGTTTGTGCAGGGTGCCTCTGTCTCAGAGCAACGTGTCGGCTGGACCATATGTGACATCGTGATCAGCAGGTGGTTGAGTGGTCGGGTGCAGGCCTACTCAGTTGCCCAGATGCCTGCTGTGTCAGAATCACCTTTAATGAATGCTTTTTTAAAAAAGGAGAGTCTGATGCAGAGGCGGGGTAGGGCCCGGGCGAGTATCTGTCTTTGAAGCACTGCCAGGGGATCTGGGTGCCCAGCCAGGTTCGAGAATCCCTAGACTAGGGCCCACATGGTAGGCTGTGGGTCACTGTCAGGGGAATGAGTGACAGCTGGGCCTGAAGGAGGCCCCCTGACATGCAGCTCCTTCCCTTGGTGGCACAGTGAGTCCTGTCACAACCTCCTGAGCCCAGTGCCCACTCGGCCACAGCGAGACCAGGCAGGGAAGGGCCCCGTCTGCCAGGATGCAGGGCTGCACGAAGGACCGGGCCTGGGGCCAGTTCAGATCTAGTGACTAAAGGAAAGCCCACTAAGAACAGTCAGCTGGATCCTGTCAAAGGAAGTAGAGGATTTTCAGATACAATCGATGATGCTTATGCTAATTGTTTCATTAATCAGACAGAAAACCACTCTGTTAGAGCTTGTGCACAATTGAGGTAGGTAAACCATTACTGATTTTCATGAAGGACTCATAACCAGTCGCTGCCCATTGCCACCATGGTGAGACCAATCTTTGCACATGAAACCAGGAGTCTGAGATTTGGTCACTTCCTTAGTCTCAGTAGTAGCAGGACACAGGACGGGCTGATGCCCGTTACTACATTGCTGCCAAATTTCGTGACATGACGTGAAAGGTCTGGAAAAGCAACAGGAGGCTGCACCAGGTTCAGTGAGATGACCAAGAACTTGAGGCTCAGGGACTCTTGCTCCTGGGGCTCGTGGGCACCACACGCGTGGGTAACAGGTCCAGGCTCAGTCACTCTTGCTTGGAAAGGGGCAGAGCGTCTCCAGGTACGGCACTATCTTTTAAAGCAGTGTCCCTCCCCCGTGGTGTGGGCTTCTGGGAGCCATCAGATGAGGTGCCAGTGACCCTTCTGTCAGCCAAGATGTAGGTTCTTGCCTGACAATGGAACCGGCCACAGCTGTGGGAGCAGAGCTGGGAGAGTGACGGGCCCGGCGCCACGCTCGAGCATCTCAGCTTTGCCCCTCGGCTGGCAGTGCCATCTAGAGCGAGCCCTGGGGTAAGGAGCTTAAGGCTCATCAGCTCAGTGATTGTGCTGAAGGATTTTTCAGCCCATGGGAACCGAAGAGAAATGTTTCACAACTGTGTAGCTCAGAAGTGAAGTCTGGCCCTCCCAGCTCTGATGCCTTTAAGCGGTGACTCTGACTTCTCTGCCACCACTCCTCCCAACTGTACACATGTATGAGGAATGCAGATTTCTCTTTTCAAGTGGTTAAATTAGAAACCAACATCATTAAGACTCTTGATTATTTTTCAGGGATAATTATCTCTGTTAAGACACGTTCCGAACGGCAACTCCTAAGGTTAAAACAGATGAATATACAACTGGCCGCCAAGATCCAACACCTGGAGTTCAGCTGCTCCGAGAAGGTAAGAAAACACTCCTGGAAAGATGCCCCCCGGCTGCCACTGCCGCCTGCAGCATGGGCTCCTCCCCGCCAGGCAGCGCCCTCCGTCCCAAGCACCCTCCCCTTGGCTAAGTCTTCCTGTCCTTTAGGGTCGCTTAGGCATTGCCTCCTCCCCAGAGCTGTGCCAGGTGCCCCTCCTGTTGTCCACTGGACCCCCTCTGACCGTACAGCAGCTGCCTTCAGCGGGCTGATTCCGCAAGGAACATAGTTCCCCTTCAGTGTTGCATCCCTGGGCCTGGGCTCACTGACGGCCACGTCCCTGGTGAAGCTCCGAAGGTAAGTTCAGTTATTTGTCTGCTTTTGTAACCACAGGAACAGGAGATTGAAAGACTTAACAAGCTGTTGCGACAGCATGGACTGCTCGGTGAGGCGAACTAGAGGCGGCCCTGCCCCACTCCACGGAGAAGACCCCACCTCACGGGCTTGCACCTGTGAACGAGGATGACAGCCGCCCCTCCTGGGGCCGTTGCAGGACAGGTTTGGTTTGCTGCCGTTGCCTGCCTCCCACCCAGCGTGGACTCTGGAGGGACACAGTCTTTGGGAGGGCCCTCTCTCTTCCTTGGTGTGGCCGAGGACTTCCTTTCCCGTTCCCACCTGCACGGTGTCACAAATGTATCATAGGCTGTTTTCTCATGTTGAACTTTAACTCTTGCTTGGAAATGTACCACAAAGCTGGACAGTTACTAGTTGTATATACAATCTAATCTCGTCAAATGTACAGCTTCCACAGCTTGCATAGGTACCGAGGCATCCTTTCATAGGAGTACTCTGAAAGGGAAAAGGGAAAAAGGAAGATAGCTTTGCTACCAGCCCATTCTAGAAAAGCCTTTTCTATTTCTTAGCTGTTCCAAATGGCTTGTCTTACAGTGGTTCCCCCCAGGGAGACTGTTCTCAGATACCCAGCCCCCCCTCCTCTGCAGCATTCAGCTTCCAGGTGGCTCCACCAAATCCTGCCGCCTGGCAACATTTTTCTCAATTACTGTACAATTAATGTATAAAATAAACTCTCCTCCCGCCCCGGGCCCTCCTACTATATTCTGTGCAGCTTCAACTGCTTGGAACGGCTCTGTGGCATCCCGTACCAGCCCACCAGTTGGAGAGCTAGCTAGCGACAGTGCCCGGTACAGAAATGGCAATTGGACCCAAGACTACACTGTAATTAGTGTGACATTTCGGGAAAGATCCCCTTTTGAGGCCTTATATTACTCACTTGCATAAGGAGTTTATACAGTATTTCAGTATTTTTAGTACTCATTTCAGTGGGACCTGATAAGGAAAGAAACCCTGAACCCAAAACAGTGAGTATTTTAACGATAACTCACTTAACGCGGGGGATGAGTAAACTGGATAAAGCCTCAATGCCCGCGCTACTTCAAAGTCTGCTCTCTCTGCTGTCTCCCCAAAGGTGCAGTTTGGCTTCCACATACAACCAAGGTCAGATGGTGCCCCATGCTGAGGTCAAACCAAGTAGAATAAAATTTCCAGAAGGAGGGAAATGAGTGGAGAGGGCAGGTGTGCTGTTTTGGGGGCAACTTCAAGGGTTAGCAGCATAACAACATGGGCTGTTTCCGAGGGCCCCACACCCACTATTCTAGAGGTGTGGCCTAGTTTCCTTAATTAACAACTTACATCAAACAAACGGGAAGAAGAAATTGAAAGGCAGCTTGGCATTGATGGTTGGCCGAGCTCTGAAGCCTGCCTCTGCAGGTGCAGACACATCCACAAAAGTAACCGCAGTGGAAATGAGAACCGTCCTTTCGTTTCCTGGGCTGGTCTGTAAAGAAAAAGTCAGACCAGTGCAAGCCCTGCTGCCCTGCGAGTTCCCGGGGTCACAGAGACGGGGCATTTCTTATTCCCTTCCCCTCCGATGGCCATCAGTCAGCTCATGAGTCTGAGAGGTACGGGGCGGGCTCATCAGCCATTTACGTGGGTGGGAGAGATCACTTTTACCCAGGCTGTCCTCACTAACACATCAGCATCAATCTCAACTCGATCTTCCCGAGAAGTTGAAGGAGCAAACCTCAGCGAGAATACTACTGTGAATAAATCCATCGTCAGTGGAGGTTACTCCTCTAAGAAAGGTGATGGCTACACTGTTTTAGGAATCCAGATTGTTTCTATTTTAATGATAACCCTCCCCACAAAGTAATAAACTTTACTATCACACTTGCGTTCTGCCTGAACTGGTGTCTTCACCTTTACCTAGGAGCTAAAGCTGGGCCTACCTCAGGGAGTGAGGATGCAATCAGACGGGCAGTCACGTTGACTATTTTAGCCTGGGGGTTCAGCAAGGATCCGTACTTAGTCCACTTCACTTCTATAACCAAAGCCACCGGGAGCTGGCAGGAATCCTGTGAAACAAAATGCCATTAATCAGTTTGAATATTACACAACCTCAAGTCAAGCTTAATCTGAAGTTCAGTTTTAATACATGTTTAATAAAACATCTCATGTATTACAGAGCGTTCTGAACAGGAGAATGAATAGACTCCAAAAGTTAAGATAAAAACTGCTTAGAGAAAAAGCACGTATTTTAAAGTACTTAATGCTCCAAAAATATTTTAACACCTAAAGCACCACTTTTCCATTCCCTCCTATTCCTCCTAAGTGTAAAGACACCAGAGTTACCTGGGAGTTATAAGCCCAGTACCTTTGGGGCCTTGCCTGCTCTAACTTCTACCTGTTGACACGTACCCTGGAGATACATTAGGAGAGAAACTGGCCTTGGGTGGGGAGGAGAAAGAGGATGGTATTAACAGAAATTAAACCTGATTGCATATTTTGATAAAATGCACTTAGAGGAAATGTGTCTGCTTTTCATTTATCTAATTTCATCAGTTGGCCATTAAGGTGTCACACGAGGGGGCAGGCAGAGTCTGTGAGCTGTCCGAGGACACTGCCAACTCTCCACGGACCCAGAGCACTGCTGCCACAATCAGGCCGCCAGGTTCAGGCTGGAGCTTGGGGAGCTGGGCTGCGGCATCTGCCTCCGGGACCTTCCCGATTTTTTTCCTGCCTTTAGATCTCTTTAGCTGGCAGTTGTGATTACTGTTGAAGCTGCATGATGTGCAGGGGGGATTCTGTTATACCATTCTCCTTTTGTGTGTGTTTGAAAAATTCCCACAATAACAAGTTTTTAAAAACACATCTCTCCAGGGCATGAGAAGCTAGCAGGGGTGCTGAGTTTGGTGCCTGCCAAGAAGGCACTGGTGGAACTCCTTAGCTTGGAACTGCCTTTTAAGCAATTTACAGCTGAAAGACCCTTGAATATCCTGGTGTTAGACGATGCCACACGCAGTTGGTAAGACTGAGCTTAGCAGGGCCCTGGCTGGTGTAGCTCAGTCCCTGGCTGGTGTAGCTCAGTGGATTGAGCGCGGGCCTGGGAACCAGAGGATCTCGGTTCGATTCCTAGTCAGGGCACATGCCTGGGTTGCGGGTGGTTCCCTGCAGGCTATTTCCCAGCAGGGGAAGCACTAGAGGCAACCATACATTGATGTTTCTCTCCCTCTCTCCTTCCCCACTAAAGATAAATAAATATTTTTAAAAAACCAAAAACATGGGTTTCGGGGGGGGGGGCTGGCACAAAACCCACCCCCGGCCGTCTGAGCTCCTCGGACCAGCACAGACCGTGGCAGAGCTCATGTCCCCCCTGCTGCCTCTCCTCCACCTATGTATTTCCTTCGGAAGGAAAGTAGTAACTATAGGTCTTAACCCGTCTCCAAGAAGCCAGACGCAGTTTGCCTGGTTCACTAAGGTGGCAGAGCTGAGCCTCGACTTTGCGGCTGAACAGCAGGGACTGAGAAATCAAGGGTCTCTGGGGAGGAAGGGCGGGATCAAAGCTGGTGAGCTGGTCCTCACCCACACTGTCCCTGCTATAAATATGCTAAGCAGATAATGAAAGGCCTGAAGAAACTGTGACAAGAAAAAGCTGGGCAATTAAAGGATAAGATGGAGAGAGCACGCCTCCAGTGATGGGGGCCGGCCCACACTGACTGCTGAGACAAAGGAAGAAGGTGGGCAGGGGAGCCACGTGTGATCGGGGACCTATTTGCAGCATGTCAACTCCCACTGAACTCCTGGGAACTTTGGAGGTGAACGCTCTCGCACGGGGGCTGCCGTGGGACAGCCCTGGGGAGGAACGATGTCTCCGCCTTTGGAGACGGTCCCCCTCTCATCCCCCATCTCAGCACCTAGAGAGAGGCCTCACGCAACCCCAGCAGCGAGGGCAGGAACAGTCAGGACAGTGATGGGTGGCAGTTCCCGTTTAAAGAGAGACCACCGGGCGCCATGAATATTAATGACCTCATTAACAACCCCAGGAGATTTGGACTATAGCTATCTTCCCCATTTCACAGAAGAGGAAATGGGCCCAAACTCATGAAATCAGTGGCCAAACGCAACAGTGCAAACAAGGGGCAAAGTCAGTATTCCAGATCCAGGCCCTTTGATAACAAAGCCCAAGTTCCCACCAGAGCCATCCACCTCCCACGGGCGAGGAAGAGCAGTGGAAGAGGAATGACCACCAGCCGGTGGCCTCCAACTCCCTTTACCTTCAAGTGGGACGCCTGGGTGACGAAGCGGACGGGCACCCAGTCCAGCACGTCCTGGGCCTGGGAGTTTCCAAAAGGAGCCACATAATCTGGGAAGCCCTGGCCCTTCAGCAGGCGCTTCACCTTCTCCACGACCAGCGGACAGGTGACGGCCCTGGTCAGTCTTTGGAGAAGGAAAGAGAGGTCAACCGCCTGAGGCTGGTGCCCACACCAGCACCTCCCCCAGGCCTCAGCACCACGCACGCTCTGGCCAGCGGATCTTCTCAACGCTCCACCGTGCCTCTAACTTTGAGAAATCCTCGTTGGCCGGGGAGATGAATCCAAACATGTCTCCGCAGCTGTTCATCAGGCAGCTCTGACAAGAAGGGCCCCGGGCGGTTCTTGCACGCCCACGCCCCTCCTGAAGCATGCGGCATGTTAAAGGCTCCAAGGGGTCCTCCAGTAAGGAATTGTGTTTCTAACTTTAATGGGCATCTCCCGAACATCCGGGACCACAGACCTGCCCCTGCTAATACCTTGTGGAGATGTATTCCCCAGAACCTCCTTTGACATATGCTGGTTAAAGTGATCAAACCTGATCGTGTAAATGGTGAATACTGGTCCAACCAAAGTCATGCTAAAATTACCCTGGGGAGGAGTAGGGGTGGGAAGTGAGTGGATGGTGGGGTGGAGGGTGGCAGTGAAAAGAGCAAATTTTCATCTTCCATAGTGGGGACTCTGGAAATAATCTATAAAATGGAAATATCAACAAATACTAGAACTAAAATATCAATAAATATTTAAAGATTTGCAGGAAGATTTCCAAAAAATTGGCGACAAGAGTTGAGAAGGATTGCCCCGGGGTGGGGCAGGTGAGGGTAAGACCTGCCGTTATAACAAGCCACGCGGAGCTATTTGACATTTTACATGACACATACCCGCTTGATAATAAAAAGATAAATTGAAACAGAGCACATGCAGGCTTCCTCTCACTGGCTTTGTTGTGTATAGTGCATTAACATTAAAAAATATAGGAAGGACTTTCAGGGGAAGTATTTTTGCTGTGAACACAAGTGCTATGCAACCTTAAAAGCAAATCATACAAAGCCATGAGATTTTAAAAATAATCATAATAGTTTGGTTTTGAGACTTAAAATTAGACATCAGAAAATCTATAAGGTAATGTCACTGTTGCTACTACCTACTAATAAGCATAACAAGGCACCTTGCCGCTCTCGCAGGTACTTGTCAGCGGGTGCAGATGGCTGGTTAGCAGGGGGAGGGCAAGGATGTTTTATCTTCTGATCAACCCAAACAAGTTCCAATAGAAACAAGTTACACCCTTACCGCAGTTTACAGCCAGACTGCATATTGTAGCCAAATAACACTGGGGCGCGGACCCCCTCTACTGCTAAGCAGTCTTGCTCTGCTGTGCTACGAAGAATAGTGAGCTGTCCATATCTGTTCATGGTCTGAATGATCCCAGACCTTCAGACAGTTAAGGAATAACCGCCCAGGACAGCAGCAGCCTGATTCACAGGAAGTGGAGTCACGTGTGCGACGTGAGACCTGAGTGAGACCCAAATATCTCTTCTCCGGGCCTCTGGGACTTGGACAGCTATTTCCCAGGAGAGGGTGAAAACGGTTATCACTACTTCCTGGATCAGGAGGTCCCCAGAAGAAAAAATTTTTCAGAAACTGGCCCTTCAACATTCATTCCAAGCTTTCCAAGTCACTAACTTTGAGTCCCTGTGAAATTAAGCATATCTAAATGCCCATCAGCTTTTCTGTGTTAAGATTTCTTTAGAAAACAAGGACATTTTCCTGGGTCATGCTGTTTCCCCGCCAACCTCAAGTCCCCAAGGAGCCCCACTTGCTGTACAGCCAGACCCCCCTCTCCCCCCGGCCACAGCCACCCAGAGGAAGCTCTGGCTGGGACTAGTCCCTCCAGCCCACAGGAGCCTCGGAGAGAAGTGCAGCCCACTCGCGTGGCCGGGGCACTCGGCCTCCTCATCAGAGCCAGAAAGGATATCCCTTGCGAGGCTGAAACCCGGCAGCCAGCGGGAGGCCCACAGTGTAACCAGGGTTTCCACTGAGAGGAACTGGCTTTGTGTTTTGCTGAAAGACAATGCAGAGACGTCAAGTAAGTCTCACTTTGAAAAGAAAGTGGCGGAGGGAAATGAAATGCTTTTCATAATAAAACCTGGGACTGCCGACCAATAAAAGAACTTCTTCCCCACTCAGAACTATGAATACATATGCAGCCAAGTGGGGGAGTGCCTCATGCTGTAAAGAACAAGCGCACCTGCCAGGGACCTCGGTGCCCAGCAGGGAAGGGCACAGGCTCTGCCCGAGTCGCTCCGACTCCCCAGGCTCAGGGCAAGCTTTTGTTCAGCACCGGGGGTTGGATATGGCAATACTTCTAAACTGCAGTTATTTTTTTTTCACTAACAAGTTAGGGTTTCTCTTTACTTGGCAATTAAATACTTGTACCAAATGGATCAAACTTACCTGAATAAAATGAATTTCAAACTTTTGCTGGAGCGGGAGCACTGCATCGCTGACTGCCCCCAGAAGGAGAGAGAGACCGGCTTTCGTTATCTCACCTGCATCTGTGTAGGTGAGACTGTACTTCACCTGAAAACAAAAGACACTTCAAATGCACCTGCTCCCGTGACCTTTCTGCAGCTCTACCCATAACTCAAATAAAACACACACAGGAGGGAGGCGCTTTCCCGCTTCGCCACTTGTGAAGCTTTTCCTCTCCTGTCCTGCTGGGTTATGGGGGTGCTCCTTCAGCATCACCCCTGCTGACACACAGGGTCCTTTGAGCCCGTCTGTACCCCGTTACGTAAGTTCCAGGAAGCTGGTCTGGGCAGAATAGAATCAGTCTGTCTCTGCAGAGGAAAGACATTACAACAATGGCAACAATAACAAATTTTGATGTCCTCTCGTAAGACGCTAGGTTTCTGGAGAAGCCACAGGATTATTTCGGAGACAAAGAGGTGTCCTCTGATGGGACAGCAGGAAGGCAGGCAGGAGGCCGAGTCAAGAAGAGCAACACCCTGGGTGGCCCAGAACCCCTTTCGGGGGCCTCAGTGAAACTCCTCAAGACCACGCAGTTGAGTCTGCCACGAGCAGATGGAGCTCTCACAGCCGAATTGGGGGCCTACCTCCAGAACCACGTGAGTGCAGATTTTAACAGCCCCAACGTCCACCAGAGCCGGCTTCCACACGTCAGTGCCTTCCAGTCGGGTGAGCGTTTTATTCAGCGACTGAACGATGACGGACTGAACAGTGATAGGGACCTGCGAAGTGCCAAAGTCCTGGGTTACTGGAGACACACACAACGATGGGGGCGAACGGGTTGAGTAACACTTGAAATAAATCTCCACTGACACACTGCCAGACAGGGACGAGCATGCTGCAGAAAAACAGGCACACTCTGTAACTCCACGTTTGCGAACATACAGGTATCTATATGTAAATACACATATTCACTCACAGAGAAAACACTTGAGAAGCACACAGCCGAAACTCGAAATGTTACCTCTGAAAACATGTTCCCACAACAACCTGTACACAAATGTCCACGGAAGCAGTTAGGAAGCCACAAACTGCAAGCATCCCAAATGTACATCAGCGGATGAATGGATACATAAAATGTGGTATATTCATGCAAAAGAATATTATTCATCCATACAACATACATGAACCTTGAAAACACGGTGCTAAGTGAGAGAAGCCTGGCACATATTATGTGATTCCATTTACATGAAATGTCCAGAACAGGCAAATCTACAGAGACAGAAAGTACCCGAGTGGTTGCTGGGGACAAGGGGGGAGGGGACGAATGAAGAGTGACCATTAATGAGCTCGGGGTTTCTTTCTGGGGTAATAAGAATGTTCTGGTGATAATGGTGATAGTTGCACTACTTTGTGAATATGCTAAAAACCACGAAATTGTACACTTTAAAATGGTGGTGAGTTTTATGGTAGGTCACTTGTGTCTCTCACACAAAACTCTCATCGCACCATCAAATGCATGTACACACTCACCTCCACAACACAACTCCTACCGATAAACGCACTCGCTCTGTACACACACGTGCATATCCTCCACAGTCCCGGGGCACATCCCCCGACCCCCACGGACTCCCTGAACATACACTTGGCCCAGTTCATACACAACTTCTGCCCCCGACACACGCACACGCAGCAGTGGGGCCGTGGGCACGAGAGAGCAGACGAGTCTGTCTGGCCCAACCAGGAAGCCCGGTGCGCCCAGTGCTAACGACTGACCCTTTTCATTTACAGCCCTCGCCCAGCAGAGTGGCAAGGCAGCGGGCAATTCTTTCAATGTGTTGAACCTCTAGGTAGCTGGGCCTCTTTGGGAGACAAATCTGACATTGGCTTTAAATCTGACACTGGCTCTTAGAAACCACCCTCTCCAGTGGTTTCTGTGGCTTTGAACTTTGCCCTCAATCATGTGCCATGCTGTTTATAATTCAAAATTACTAAATGTTTAAGCTGTCATTTTATAGATAAATATTTCTTCTGTGTCTGCTCCCATGACCAAGAATACCTGTAACTGTCCTTATCAGTTAAACTGCTCGTATAAGAACAGACACGGTCTGGAAGCGAAAGCAGGCTGTCACAGGACAGACTGACAGAAAGGTGACACCAGTGACCACAAGGCCCTCTGCATGACAAGCCACACCAGTGGGTTTAAGAACTACAGAGGGAGTCCCAAGCTACAAGTTAATTAACTTTTAAGTCAACAAAAGATAGCCCTGGATTCCTCTACGTGAACCGAATGACCCGATTCGGCAATGATTCTGGGTTCCGAGAAGTGCACGTGCTTCCATCCCAGCCTCTGAAGGAGCCGCTCCTGCGGTGTGCGGTGTGGTCGGCAGAAACCGAAGGGTCCGGTTTCAACAAGCTGTGGGAAGACCCACAGGCAGGGCGATGGCTGCACAGCCCATCCACGGCCACTGCAAAGCCACGGACTGAAAATGGCGGGGCTGCTCCAGTTTCCCACGTGTCCCATTCAGGGGTCGTATCCCACCCCGAACTAAAGAACTAACATGCACTTTACAAAGAAACTCCGGGGCCAGGACTTCACCTGTCACTGAGGGCCCCACAGATATTGACAATGACTCTAGAAATCAGAAGGGGAGTCACTTAACGGGGAGACTGGATCCAATATTTATATTCCTGATTCTCTAACAGACCTTGGGAGTTGCTTTTTAAAAAAAATGTAAAGACGTCTCTGATATCAAGTCAATAGTTTGTCTTTCAGAGCACAGACTTGAACTCCACACAGATCTGAGCTGGAAATCCCAGCCTAGCCCTTCCTGGCCGATTGCATGGCCGAGGGGTGCAGACAGGAAGTGCGTGGAGCTGCCCTCGATGCCTGGCACATGGAAGAGCTGGTCCAGCGCCGTGGTCTCTGGAGCTGCACAGCCTGGATTCCCATCCCAGCTCTACCATAGGACATCCCAGCGTCCTGCATAGCCTTGGGCAAGTAATTCATCTGTGACTCACAGGGCAGAGAGGACAATCACAGGACTCAGCTCCGGGGGTTGCTGAGATGACCGCAGGGCTTCAGACATGTGTAATTGGAATTACGAGCCTTACAGTAACACCCCGTTATTTGTCTCACAACAGGTCCTCCCTGCTTGACTGAGCCAACCCCCTCATCACCCATTCACTTAACACATAACCCACTGAGTACCCAACACACACGAGGCACCGCCCTAGTGCTAAGGACATATAAACAGGGCCGCTGCCCCCGCAGAACGGCAGAATCGAAACCCTTTGTAGTGACTCAGATGTATTTGAGAGCTAGTCCAGTGAATTTCAAATTGGGTTCCTGGGAGCCAGAGGTTCCGTAGAGGAAACAAACGGAAGAGATGGAGCGGCCAGGCAGACAGAGGACTTCTGGCCACCACCCTTGCTCCAATGGGGGCCTTCTGATTCAACCCATGTTACACACTAGGGAGACTTCTACTTGAGATTTCCTTTGAAGGAGCCCTGTAACTAAAACACATTCATAAATGCCTTCACAGATGAGGAAAGCCTGGCCCACACACAGTAGTGTGAAGTTCAAAGCCACATGAATATTTCCTTTCAAATAGCGACCTCGAAGGCATTTGTGTCCACGGATTTAATGAAATCAGTCACAGGAGCTGCCGCTGTCCCGAGTGCGTCCTGTGTGCCAGACGCCACACAGAGCACGTCATGTGCATCAAGGCTTTGCATCTGCTTGACACTTGTGGGGGCTGAGGGGCACGCTGCACAAGAAAGTACTGGCAAAGCGAAGTTCTGAACAAGGCAGACCGATCCCACAGGCGCTGGGAGAGTACAATAAGGCCATCGCCTGTATCCCGAGGCAGGCAGAGGGCACAGACCTGGGAATAAGAGCTTGATTCATGTTCCTTCTCTCAGATGTAGCCACACAGAGATGATGGCCCCACCAGAGCCTGACAGAGCCCCTGGGCTGGAGGCGACAAGGCTCGGGACAGAACTTACCGGCAACGCAACCCCTGAAGCTACACTGAGAATGCTCACCTCGCACCCGGGTGTGTGCGTTCGCTGGGGAACAGTCTGTGCCCCCACCCTGGGCGGACAGCACCCCGGGAGCTGGGCAGCTGTGCTGACAGCAGACCAGGAGACGTCAAGGGTGGCCGGGAAGGCACAGATGCCAATTGCGCTGATGTGGGGTTGCAGAAGGCTCATGTACTAAAGAGTTTCCTTATTTCATTTCTGCTCGCTCTTTAACAAGTATTTTCATTGTTGGCAGTAAGGTACCCTTCTCATCATAAGTATAGTCATTTCAAAGGGCTCAGAAATAAGGTAGCGTATCATAAATGAACTTTCTATTAAGAAATTTTCTTACCTTTGTTTGTGAATTAGGTACCTAGACAAAAAAAAAACACAAAATGTGTTCAATACAACAATAGCAAAGCATTTTTATCACTTTTTTTCAGTGTGGGTTGAAGGGCATAGTCTCACCTTATCAAAGATTTCACAGAGAGGAAAAGAAAATATCCTTAATCAAGACCTGCCATCTACACCTTTTTGTATCATCATAATCAAACAGGTAACTTGACATTTTTCCTTCTATATTCATCTCCTTCAGAAGGGGAGCTTAATGAGCCAGCCCAGCAGAGCTGGTCCTAAGGAAGGCTCTGCACTTCAGGGCGATTATTCGGGATTTTCCACATGGTCACCGGTGACACCGCCCTGCGAGGGAGATGTGGCTCCTGTCCTCCGGTCACGTGCACCATACTGTACTCGCTGGAAGGACATCGGCACTTTCACAGCCTCCTCAGAGGCCGTCCGCCCTCTCCACACAGCCAGAGCTCGCATTCCAAGGTCTCACCTCCCTCCTCTGATCACAAGACACCTGCCCTGTGAGGCCCATGGGAGCTTCGGGGAGGGAGGTGAGCAGACATGTCCAGGGAGGCTGTGCTCAAGATGAGGGCCTGCATGCCTGGGCGGAGACTCCCAGAAAACTGAGAATCAGCTCCCCTGGAAGAATTCGCAGGCCTAGGTGGCTTATGAGAAGAGGCAGAAAGGGACAGGGGAGGAAAATGTTAAATTTGATTCTGAGAACTGAAGCCCAGCTGGTGCCACGGGCCATCCTTCCCCATCCCCCAAAAAGGAAAAGCAGGAGATCCGGCTTTCCCAAGAATCATACGGCTCCTAATCATGAAAACACAGTTTCTCCTCTGGCAACCCTCCATGTCATCCACCATCTGGGCCAGTGGCCTCTCTCATCAATTGTTCAAGCTTTGGTCACTTCGACAGGAAGAAGGGAGCTTCGCTGCTCCGCGCTTTGCCTTCTGCATTGGTCCTACTTCCTGTCCTTCCCTGCTTGCTTATTTCATCTGCCAACCAGAAAGGGGATTTCTAATTTTTTCTGGTCTATTTCTGCAATGGACATTTTATAATTTCTAAAGCTTTTGCTTATTCATTTATTTTATTCAGGAGACAAACATCATTGATTGCCATTAAAATGAATGACAGCAAAAAAGAAAAAAAATGAAAGCAAAATATGAGCCAACTGTATAGAAATATAAATTATTAAGTGTGATTTTTTTCCCGGTATCTTTAGTATCAGCATACAAAAGAACTGGAGAAAAATTAAAAATTGCATGCCAACCATGCACTGAAATAATACTATACTTACCATTTTTAAAAAGGGTACAAAGAAGAGAAAACAAATCTCACAAATCTCTCAAACTAATTCTCACCCTCAGAATTTGAGGGCTGCTGTAATAAGCCATGCCCAGCGCTTCGGTGTCTTCGCACTGCTCCAAACTCATCCTTCTGGTGCACGTCACAGCTCGGTTCACCAAAAATGCTGGAAGTCACACCATTCCCAAGGGGGAGAAAATTAAAAAGAGAAGAAAGTGTTCGACCGTCCAATGGTGACTAAAAAACTGTCATCTACATAAAACCACAAAATGAATTATGACACAGATATGCCGCATGTTTAAAATAGGGTTTAAAAAATTATTCTTCAAATAGGTAATACATTCGCATGTTTCAAAATTCAAAAGGCACAAAAAAGCACTGAGAGACGCCCCTTTCAGGCCCCTGTCCCCCAGCCCTCCAGAGGCGATCAGCATGAAATTTCTTGTGTGTCTTTCTGGAAATATTCTATGCAAATGAAAGTTTGAGTATACATATTTTTAGTATTTCTTTCCCCTTTTGGAAACAAATGTACAATATATACCCTGCCCTTTGGTTTTTTTCACTGAACAATATGTCTTGGAGCTCAGCCTGTCTCAGTACATGAAGAGCTTCCTCCTCCCTTTTTGAGGAATAATTAGTATTCCACCATGGATGTGCCATGATTTATTCAGCCAGCTCCCCATTATCGGACGCTTAAAGTCGTCTCCAGCTTTGCTGTCGCAAACAATGCTACAGTCATTATTTTGCATGTGGGCCAGAGTGTCTGTAGTGCCAACTCCTAGAAGCAGAACGGCTCTGTCAAAGGGCATATTCATTTGCAATTTCCATACAAATTGCTACACTGCTCTTGGCTGAGGATGCTCCAGCTTCCAGTCCCACCAGCTATGCAGACGAGTGCCTGCTTCTCCACAGTTGGGCTTTGCCAATCCATTAGATGGAAACACTCTCCGTTTGGTTTTAATTTACGCCGGTCCTGTTGTGAACAAGGTTAAGCACCTTCCCACCAGAATACACTGGCCTAAGCATGGGCACGCCGGTGCCAAGAGGACTGCACCACCGTCCACGGAGCTTCTGAAAGGAGCAGCAGGGCCCATGGGAGGCAGCTGCGTGGGTTGCCTCCCACTCCTCCACCACCCACGCGAGCCTGAGCAAGAAACGGAATGTTCCTTGGTCTCCTCATCTAAATAATGACAGTAACTCTACTTTAGAGGCACTTAACCCACTTAACACACAGTAAGTGCTTAATAAAGGTCAGCTATGGACAAACGTTAGCTCTGGTGAGGAAAGACCTGTCCCACCGACTGGGCTGGTTCAGGTGGGGGCTCCCCACCACTACAACTACTCAAGCAGTGATGCCTTCGTGGCAAAGATTCCAGCTCTGAACTACCCTACCTAACTTTTGGAGCTTCTTTCAACTCTTAAGACTCCTCTGTTTCTAGTGATGAAGCCCCGTTTCATTAGGACTGCTATGAGGTTAAACTGAGCAAACTCTGTTTTAAGGGGAGAGAAAACCGCCCACTCTTACCTGCAGGGTTATTATCGGTGCACAGAGACGACGTGAGGGGAGAAGGAAACCTCAGAAACGAATCCGAAGTCTGCAGGACAACCCCATACTGCAGAGAGAGTCACCAACAGTCGTCGCGCTGCTGTTACGGCATTCACTCAACACTCACTGGACACCGGCTACGTGCCCGGCGGCATTTCAGGCATTGGGAGCACAGGGTTGAGCAAGACACGGATACGGTCCCTGCCGCCATGAAGCTGACCTCTAGCTGCCCCTCCTTTTCTTTTTCGGGGGTGCACATCTGTACCTCCATGTGACTGTGTTTAGGGGCCTCCTCATTAAAGAATTCCTCTGGCTCCAGTGCCTGCCTCCGAAGACAGGAAGTCGGTGGCCCGGGGCAGGGCTGAGAGAGCATTACTTTTCACTAGCAACACTTATTTAAATAACAGACACAGTATACACTAATATCATTATATTCATATATGCCTTCCTTGCTGAAACCAAACCCCATGAAAATTTCTGCCAATACCCAAAACAAAATATATAGCTATTGGGCATTCAGCTAACTTTTTTGATTTTAAAAAGAATATCCAGAGGCCTTGGCACCAGCCAGGGTGTGTGGAAGCAACCCCTCTTCTCCCCTGGAGCTGGGAGTGTAAACTCCTGCCATCTTTCTGCCGGGCAACCTGGTATCGATAGTTTAAATCTCCAGTCCTGTTGACCGAGTTAACACATTCATGGGAACATAATCTAAGGATTTAATCAAAGATACACATATCTATAAAAATGTTCATCTTGCATTACTGATAATAGTAAAAACTGGAGATGAATGTTCTATTATTAGTAGAATAGCTCAGTAACAAAGGCGGATACATAGAGAGAAGGAAGATGTATCAGTAAAATGTGCCCCCAACACTAGTTCTGACAAGTTCCTTGCAGAGCCAGCGTCAGGGATACTGAGTTTTTCGCATCAGGTGAGTAGGGGCAGTGGCGTTTGTAAGGTAATGCCCGCAAAGCTCTGCATTGTGGCTGATACATGGAAAATGCTCAAGAAATGGTAGCTTTTACGCTGACAGGGGAAGATGCATGAGATTTATCACTAAATGGAAGAGGAGGTGCATGGAACAACGTGGGTAACTAACTATACACCCCACTTCGGTACAATACTGTATGTATATTCGATGCACTTAAAATCAGGAGTCACACCAATGGGTTTACAGTGACTTGCAGTGTGCTTTTTAAAAAAGATTTTATTTATTTATCTTTAGAGGGGAAGGGAAGGAGAGAGGGAGAGAAACATTAATGTGTGGTTGCCTCTTGTGCATTCCCTGCTGGGGACTGGCCTGCAACCCAGGCATGTTCCCTGACTGGGAATTGAACCTTGATCCTTTGGTTTGCAGCCTGCACTCAGTTCACTGAGCTACACCAGCCAGGGCTGCAGTATGTGTTTTTAACGGGGATGGGGGCCTTTCCATGTCTGCTTATATACCTCTATACTTTTATCTTTTAGACTAGCCCATGTAGCTTTTACATCTATTTTTAAAAGATGCTTCTGCAAATTCTGAAGTTTAGTGGAAGTTCATGATGATCACACTGAAAGGGTGACCAGGGGAGAGAGATGAAACAGCACTTGTCTTCTCTAAGTCTGTAAAGCTAAACACAGCTTTGAGAAGAGCACGGGCACCCCGCCCCTCCGCTGCACATCCCCGGCAGCATGCCTCCAGCACTTTGCTGCATCTCCTGAAGTGGAGAAGAACAAAGAATTCTGCAAAGACAAATGCAAGCTTACCGCAGAATAAATTATGTTAAACCCCATGTTAGAATTCAACTACTCAATTTTAACTTCCATGATCTTTGATTTATAGGCACAAAATTAAGCTGTTTTGTCTATAATATGAATTCTATGTCTCAGGTAGCTGATTTTACTGGGAACATACTGAAAAATTAACTTGCAAGGACAGGATATTTGCAATAGGATGAACAGGCTTAGGTTCTTGGCTCACCTCATATTTAGGCGTATTTGGAGCATCTGATTCATCTGTGAAAGAAACATCTGCTTCTGCATTCAGTGAAAAACCATCAAATGTTTTCATCAATTTATCAAAATTGTTTTCATCAGGCACTTCTGGATTAATAAAGGACAATGCAGGTTTATCTGTTTTTAGGAAAAAAAGCATTTTAAATCAGTATAAAGCACCCTAACCCTAACCCCAAGATTCCTTGAATCTGATAAACAAACAGGACCCTCAGACCTGGCCTGTTTCTCTCACAGTGTGGAAGCAATGATTTCTAAAGCCACAGAAAAACAGCACCGCAGAAGCCAGTCACTTTCTCCAGCCCAAGGATGGTGGCATCTGTTCCACAAATCTCTAAGGGGAAGCTGTTCCCGGGTGGCCATGGGCATGAAAGACCCTGTTTCTACCCTCACACCACCACCTACGAAGCCCGTGCTGTTTATGGAAAAGGGAGAAGGAATCGGGCTGGTAGGTTCACTGGGCCGGTGTTATTATGTAAGAGACCGTGACAGTGACTGACCAGTCGTCACTCCCGGTTACAAGCCACAGTGCATTCACCTGAGTTTTCACTTACAAGGGAACAAAGCCAAAATGTGAATGTCTTATTTTGAAAAAGTGATAAAGCCTTAACTGATACAGCCATCAGTGTGTCTCTGATCTTTGATACCGATGGCATTTTACACCTTACTGGTGCTTGAGATCTAGACACCTATTTGAGCCAAACACTCAGATAAAAATAAAGATCCTGTTTTCATGCAAATATCCTAGGTAAAAATAAAAGAGAAAAAAGGAAATTGAAACCAAAGCTGAACCTGATTCTCAACCATTAAACCAGGAGGAAATAAAGGGGGGGAAAAAACCTCATATACTGAAATAAATCTATATTCCTATGCATGTGGGCATACCATAAACACTTTGAAATGAAGTATGAGATTTCAAAAGTCAACTTCAGTTTCTTTACTTCTAAAGAAAACATGCAGTTCCCTGTGAAATGACCTCAAAAGACACACCCAAGCCCAACCACAGAATGACTGCTTTACATCTTAACTATAACAGCACATTTTTCCACAACAGATATTTTAAAAGAGAAAAATTGTCAGACTTTCACAAAACATGTCACCACCAAATACTTACAGTTTGTAATGTGAATGCAGAAAATAGATGGATTGATCCGGTCAACAATTTTAAATACTCTCTGAGGTGGGTTTGCTGTGAAATTCAATGAATAAATGGCTGCTCTTTGGCTACAAAACCGACTATCACCCCTGAAAATTAAAAAAATAATAATAATACAAAGTCTTACGGCATGTGAACACAATCTTAGCAAGATTATTTTAAAGCTAGGGCCCTGGCTGGTGTGGCTCAGTGGATTGAGCACAGGCCTGCGAACTAGAGGATTGAGGTTCGATTCCCAGTCAGGGCACATGCCTGGGTTGCAGGCCAGTTCCCAGAAGGGGATGCATGAGAAGCAACCATACATTAACATTTCTCTCCCTCTCTCCTTCCCTTCCCCTCTGAAGATAAATAAATAAAATCTTTTTTTAAAAAAGATTATTTTAGAGCTGTCGGATGCTTGTTCTGTGTACCATGCTAACAACTACGGGGAGGTATTAACAAAAGTGTGGTGCTAGAACTGTACCCATTTTTATTTAGTTTATTTATTCAGTGTTAAAATGTTTGGCACTTGAAAGTTTTTCCTCTAACAGGGAAAACATTAAGACGAGTAGAATAACCTTTAAGGAAATCTTGTCCAGGATGAAATATAAATCAGGGTATAATTTTGATGTACATAAACCCTGTAAACTCAGACAGAATCAATTCTATGAAATCTTACAGGACTTTTATAAGTTATCAGAAGGGATCTAAAATTCCTTTTCTTTAGAATAAAGCGATCTTCAAAGGACAGTGAAAATAAGAAAATGTGACGTCATCTGGAAGTTTTGGGGGCTTAGAAGTTAGGGCACAGCCAGTTCTTCAACCAATCCCAGACTTCATAAAACTTAATCACTTTGACTCAGATGCAGGTATGGTATAGCTAGCGATAGAGATACAACGGAAATGGGATTGTATTCTACATCCTGCTTTAAAGCCTTTTCTCACTTAATATAGAATGCCCAATATTTACACCATCAAATATGTTTTTGCAATATTATACTAAATGACCTCATCATCCCATCTCTGGTCAGAGCCCATAGAAGAATCAACCAATAAGTACATAAACAAGCAGAACAACAAATTGATGTTTCTCTCTCTCTCACCAACTGAGCTACCCAGCCAGGGCAAGCACGATGATTTTCAACAAAGACTGAACCACGCTGTAGTCAGGTAGCCAGAAAAAATATTCTGACTGCAACATCCCATTCTCCAAGCATCTTTACAATATTAGAAGTAGATTTCATTTCCTATTAGTCAATAAAATAGTTTTTCATGGGAGAAACACATTGTACTTCCAAAAAGCATTCAATCTATCAAGTATCAATTGCTACAAATTGCTGCAAGGTTAAATTTAAATTAGGTCTCTCTGAATATGTTAGTCCCATCTGGAAAAAAATAACTTCTTTAAGTGCTGCTGCTTTCTTTCTTTTTTCCCAAAAAAGCTTTGAAATCTGAATTATAAGAAACAGATTATTCAGAAGAGATCATTTCTTTGCCTTGTAATAGACTGGGAACATCATCTTCCATTATTCTCCTATACAATATGAGCTGTGAGAATTCCTGGGAGACTTGCATGTCAGAAAAGTATAAACAAAGCTCTCCTGACTATCTATTTAATTTACTGCTTCAAGTACTATGTCCCAAACAAAAGCTATAAAATTAAACTGTGCCTTTCACCCTAGGCTATAAATAACACTAATTCACTGACACAAAAGTGTGACACATTATCTGTTTACAAATCAAAGTGAAATGTAATTGAATCTCTGAACACAGAGATGTCATTATACTCTTTTGTCTGCACTATCACCTGGCTGGATGCAAATAAGAGATAGATATTCTTCGACTTATGGTTTGGACAGCATGGCTTCCAAAGGATGCAACATTCAGGAAATCAGGTTGGAGTTTTTCAGCCTGGGGATGTTTTCACATTCTGCCTCAAAATTTTATAACCTTGGTCCAATTGTATCAGAACTGCCATGTGTCACAAACTTACGTGACAACTGGAATTGAGCAACAGGAGAAGACACTGAAATCCATGGAACTGCAGTCAGGATCACAACAGCAGTTGACGTCACACTGTGCTGGAGACAGGTCACAGCCACACAAAGAAGCGACTGCAGGAACGAGAGGTGAGTGGCACAGGCATCGCAACCAGCAGGTGGTGACTGCCCCCTGCCACGGGTGATGCACCACAAATCCATTTCACACAAACGTCCGTTTGATTTTTGCTATTGCACTTTGGGGCAAATGTGTGAAGTGAAAATTAGTCAGTTTGAGCATGCCACAATCTGGGGTTTCCCCAAAGTGGCTAATCATCTCACTATTCACTTGGAAAGTTGTTTATGCCCTACCTACAAAGACAGTGATTTGGTAAACTGACTGTGAAACCCAGACATGCATTGTTCAAAAATTTTTTAGATGCTGATAATGGAGACAGGTTTAAGAACCAGCATACTAAGGCACTTGCCTGACCATAAGAACTGCTGGTTTAATATTGCAGATCCCCAAGCTTCTCCTCTGGAGATTCTGACTCAGAGGAAGAACCCACTTAAGGCAAACCAGGAATCAGGGTTCTCAATCTTGCTCTTCTCTGAGATGTCATCTGCAGCTCTGAAGCTGAGCCCATACTCACAGGCTACTCTGGTCAAGAATCAAACTGGCTCAGGTGCTTCGTACTTGGAGTCCTAGAAATATCTTTGGTAATTTAGACAACAAAGCGTGGGTAAGTGTAGAACTCTCCCCACTTAGAAACTTTTCATTTTTAAAACTAATGACTATCTGGATTTTTTATTCCTTATTTCATTCTGGCAAACAGTGGGGGAAAACCCTTAAGCCATGCTTGCACGAGGTAAGTGTTAAAAAATGTCAACCATCATTATTATTACATCCCTACCCAGGCTACCCCTGCAGGGAGATTCAGGGGGATCACTGTGGATCCCCCGGAACTGGCACGTGGTACCCACCGTCCATCACCGGGGTAGGCCTGGGACTGGAGGGTCCGGGAGCCCTGGGGGTACCGGGGGGCCTAGGAGACAGGGCAGGTCGGAGAGTCGTCGGAGCTGGCTCCGCAGAGTTGAGGCCCTCCATCGTCACCGCCAGGGTGGCCCCGGCCTGGGCGCTCACGGAGACCCAGCAGTCCAGGAGCACCAGCAAGAGTGGAGGAAGGCCCGGTGGCCCCATCGCCAGATCGAACCCCGCGCGGCTAGCGACGGTGACCCGGTGTTGCCTGGCAACCGTGGTGGCCATGCAAGGGGCGTTGCCAGAATTGCGCCGCTAGGCCACGCGAGACTGAGGAGGCGGAGGGCGGGGCCTGGGCCGAGAGGGGCGGGGCCGGGCCTGGGCAGACCACTAGGGATTGGGACCAGCGGCAGTGTAGACCAATAGAGGTGGGGGGCGGGGCGGGGTGTGTATCTGGCCTCTGATTCCGGAGACGATGGCAGCTCTAGTTTAAAAAATTCGGATTTTCAGATTCAGAGGATTCAGACTCAGTTGTCTGAGGCCAGGAATCAATATTTTCAACAAATGTACTGACGCAATTGGTGGGGGAACAGAGATTTCGGAACAGCTCTCCCAGTGCTACTAAATAAGGACTTTTGAAGGAGGCAGAGATGATGACATCACCATCCTTGTATTTTCTCTTACCCACACTGTCAACACTTGCTTTGCCTTTTTTTTTTAGCTGTGTCGCGGGAGGGGGCTGGATAACTTTTGTTCAATAAGTCTTAAAAGTAATTTTACTGTAATTGTACAAGATGGCATAGAGACCTCAAGACTTAGGGAAGCTCCTCCATTCTAAACTGACTTATGTATAGCGGTTCCCCGGCCTGGGGATGTTAGCTATACACTTCACACTTAATCCTACAATTCAGAAGTAAATATCAAAATACTTAAACATAAACATATGGTATTTATTCAAGAAACACAGTTACAGAGAAAGACTCTTTGCTCTCCCTTCCCTGCACATCCCTCTGGAAATAAACCCTTTTCCAACCATTAGGAAAGCTAAATGTTAAAGCCAAGTCTTGGTGGGCTGTGTGACTCTCAGTCAGCCAGTGGGAGGGAAGAACCCACCAAAGAACCACCCAACAACAACCAAAATTACAACAAGAGAGCCCACATAAAGGGTATAAAGGGCATCCCGAGAGCATCCAGCCCAGGAGATCAAGGAGACTGCACCACTGAGTCCCACAGGTCTCCTACCACCCCATGAAGACAGGGAGTCAAACCAGATCAAGCTAATATGCAGAAACACATTTACAAATTCAGAAGAAAGAATGCCCACACAGTATATATACCAAGTTTATTAAATTTACACACCAAACCAAAATCATCCAAGGACATCTTTAGCACCTTCCTGTGGCACTCCAAAGTGTATACAAATATAACTGAATCAAATGTGTAATAAGGATATTTCCCTTTTCTTTCTACAAGGGATCGCTTTAGCAACTGTCTGAATTTCTGGATCACTTTATAAAAAAAAGATTTTGTTTGACATCAGCCTGCCAGTTCATTCATGCATGCAATCATTGGTTGATTCCTATATGTGCCCCAGCCAAGGCTACTCAGACGCAGCAGGACAATGCTCCAACCAACTGAGCCACCTAGCCAGGGCCTGGACCACTTTTAATAACTAATAAAATGCTGCCCTTAAAAAAAAACACTATATTTTCCAAACCTTCATCTCATAGCTTCTAAATCTAACACTTACTGTTGTTGTTTTTTTTAAACTTTCGTTCCAGGTACTTTCTTTTCCATTTCTTAGTATCTGTGAATCACTCTGTCCTATTTTCTGTTTTGAAATTTTAGGCCATTAGTTTAAACTTTGGTAAGATGCCCTTCAGCTCTAACATTTTTGTCTTTGTGCTTTATGGTTTAGGAACTAATCTCACCATCCCTTTTGTCTAATGTCAAATACTTAGTAGCTTACAAAATCCAAATGAGGGTTGCGTCAACTCAGATCCATTTTGCAGACCTCAGGAACAGCAAAACTTCGTGTCACAGGAGACTCAAATTTGCCAGGTTTTTTTCCTTCAGTCCAGGTGATCCTGTCTCCCTTCCTTCTTCTCTGGCCTTGGTAGGTTCCCTCATTAGAATGGAAGGACACAAGGAAGGGCTAAGATTTCCATATTCTGTCCAAAACTGCAGCATTTGGGTTGTGTGTAAATGTTTGTGATTAAAAATGCCCATCTGTTTCTCCACGATTATTGGCATTCTCGGTTTCTTATAGTTGGTGCCAAATGTTGGGAGGAATCAAGACAATTCAGCTTTTTGGAATTCTGCACTTGGAAGCTGCTGCCTATGAGGAGCCTGAACACCCAACGAACAGAAGTAGCCAGGAAGACAAATAGCTGAGGCTGACTTTACGAGGCAGTGTTAACCACTGTGTCTTGGTCTTTCCCGCAGTCTGGGGTGAATTGGTTATTGTTGTTACTAAAGGCATGGCTTCTAAACTGCCTAAAATTAAGTACCCAGGTTTTTCTATGATTAAATATATCCATCCATTTTTATTTATTCATCTGAGCCAAGTATTTTACAAATAGGGAGGCAAAATCATCAAGCTACGGGGACTGTTTAGAGCTACAGGTAGTTCAAGGCTGTGTGAGGACATCAAGGATTGATTCCACTGTTTTGACTGAAGTGAGCAGTCCAATAATTGATTTCTAAATCAAACCCAGAAGAAAATAACGCTTAACTTCTCTTCTCATCGCCCATGTGCCTTGTCAACTACCAGGTGCTTCAAATGTTTCCCAAAACATTATGGGGTGCAGAAGGGTTGTTTGAGCAGACTTCACATTCTTGAAAGGTCTCCCATTTACAAGTTGGACCTTTTCTAAAAATGAAGTAATAAATATGGTTGCAGACATACAAACAGAAATTTCAAAAAATCATTCCTTGTTTATCAGACATTTTAAAACTTGCATTTTATTATTGGATCATACTGAAGTTTGAATAAACTAGTTGACTTTTTTTTTTTTTTTTTGGGGAGGGGAAAGGGGGAGAGAAAGAAGTTGCTTCCCCCGGGGGGTTGCCAGCTGTTTGTCAGGGCGGTGGCCCCCTGGGAAAGACAGATTTTGTTTTGCGCCCCGGTCACCCTGAGCTACACCAGCCAGGGCTACTAGTTGACTTTTTAAGACTCATGGGGGTACAAATATCTCTTCAAGATCCTACTGTAAATTCTTTGGATATCTACAGGAAGTAGGATTATTGGATCACATATAATTCTATTTTTAAATTTTTTTAGGAACATCCATACTTTTTTCCATGATAGCTGCACCATTTTATATCCCCACCAAACAGTGCACAAGTTCCAACTTCTCTACATCCTCTCCAACATTTTTCTTTTTCTGCAAAAAAGCTTTATTGTTTCCATTTGGTCCAGTGCAAGGGAGAGGGCTCCAGGGTGGTAGGGTGGTTAAAAGGGTGTCTTGTGGTTTCAGGGAGAGGCTCAGGCAAAAGCCAAATGCCAAGGAAATGCAGAGGGGCCCCTCAAAGGCTTATGGGCTCCAAAGGCTTCCTAGTCTTGCCTGAGGGGGAGCCATTTGAAGACACCATCCAGCCCAGCACAGGGGCTGACCAACACTCAGGTGGTCGCCCATCTTCTAGATGAGTTTCACCTGCCCATCCAGGAAGTGGTTCTACAGGAAGTCACGAAGCTGAGGGCCTGTGCGGGCAGAACCCAGGGCAGGCAGGTCCAAAAGGGTCTGGGTCCAGTTCTTGTCCAGGACTGTGGTGGCTTCAGCCTGTCCTGGAAGACAATGGCACTGGTTTTGCATCTTTAAGAAACGCTGGGCATCCTCACATTTCAGTTCCGCCGGCTCAGGGAAGCAGTGGCCCAGGGCCTCCAGAGCCACATCATTGAGGTGGAGATAGAATCCCAGAGTGAGGTAGGTGTAGGGACCCTGCACATGCTGGGTGACCAGGTGGTTGAGGGCAGCCTCCACCTTGGTGGAATAATTCTGATGAATTTGGAGCTCATGGTTATTTGGTAATGAAGAATTAGAGTTAAAAAAAAAAAAAAAACGGTGTTGGCTGGTCTCAGAGGCTGAGGATGGCTGAGGTTCTGAAGATGGTGCCTGGAAAAGAGGTTGGAGGGTAGTTGGAAAGAAGGGGCGTCCCTGGGTTTGTTCCATCCAAACCCTGTTGAAGCAAGAGAAAGATCCTAGGACCACGGAGGGCACCGTCCAACATTTATTTTCTGTCCTGTTGACAGTAGCATCCTGAAGGGTGTGAGGAGGTAATGATCTCATAGTGGTTTCGATTTGTGTCTCCCTGATGCTTGGTGATGATGAACATCTTTTCCTGTGCTTATTGGCCATTTGTACATCTTCTTTAGTAAATCGTCTATTCGAGTCCTTTGCCCATTTGTAAAGTGGGTTTTTGTTGTTGTTGAGTTTTAGGAATTCCTTATATATTCTGGATATTAACCCCGTATCAGATATTTGATTTGCAGTTATTTTCTCCCATTCCATGGGTTGCCTTTTCACTCCATCGATTGTATATTGTAACCTATGGAAGTTTTTAAAGTTTTATGTAGTCCCATTCGTCTATTTTTTCTTTCGTTGCCTTTGCTTTTGGTGTCATTGTCATTGCCAAATCCAGTGTCCTGAAGTTTCCCCCATGTTCTCCTCTGGGAATTTAACAGTTTTAGGTCTTAATGTTCAGATAGTTAACCCATTTGAGTTAATTTTTGTATATGGCATAAGGTAAGGGTCTAACTTCATCTTTTGCATATGGATACCCGGTTTTCCCGGCACTATTTGTTGAAGAGACTGTCCTTACCCCATTGTGTAGTCTTGGCACCCTTGTTAAAAATTGTTTGGCCGTATATGCAAGCTTTATTTCAATTCACTCCTTCGGCTTGAAGGAGTCAACAACCTTGCTGATAAGTGTTCCATAATGGGTGTACTACAACTTCCTCTTTCATTTACATTTGAAGGAATTTGAGTTTTCTGGTTGTCAGCAATTACAGGTAAAGCCATTATAAACATTCACTCACAGCCCTGGCTGGTGTGTCTCAGTGGATTGAGTACCAGCCTGCGGGCCAGGTGCCCAGTAGGGGGCGCATGAGAAGCAACCACACATTGATGTTTCTCTCCGTCTCCTTCTCCTTCCCTTCCTCTTGCTCTAAAGATAAATAAATAAAATAAAATAAAAATAAAGTCAGTAAATAAGAAATACATTAAAGAACATTCACTTACCGGAATTGTGTGAACATACATTCTCATTTCTCTTGGGTACATACCGAGGAGAGAGATTTCTGACTTGTATACCAAGTGTATGTTTAATTTTACAAAAAAAAAAAACAAAAAACCAGCCCAACTTTTTTCCAAAGTGACTGTACATTTTGCATTTCCACCAACAATGCGTAAGCTTTCTAGTTGCTCCACATACTTGTGCAAACTTGGGATTGTCAGTTTTGTTTTCATTTTCATTTTTAGCTATTCTAGTAAGTGTGTGGTGGTATCTCATTGTAGTTTTATTAGGCAACTTTTCAGAAATTCAGTCATCTTGTAATGATGGTACATTTACACTGCACGTTTACATTGCATTTTAATCTTGGGCTGCCAAAAGCTTTTGTTAAATATTACATGAAGAAATGAATTCTTCCTTTTTTTCTGTAGACAAAGAGCCTCAAAAAAATGGAAGTTAGCTGGCCTCCAGGTACCACTGCGTGGCCCTGCTCCCCACCTTCCTCCTAGTTCTGTATTTGTGCCGTAAACATGTTTTCGTCATTGTGCTCAGGACCCACAGGTAGTTCTGCTTTCATTCACCCCTTCCTGGCAGCCTGTTAGTGAATCCTTTTTTTAAAAAAAATTTATTTATTTATTTATTTTTAGAGAAAGGGGAAGGGAGGGAGAAAGAGAGGGAGAGAAACATCAATGTGTGGTTGCCTCTCACATGGCCCCCACTGGGGACCTGGCCCACAGTCCAGGCATGTGCCCTCACCAGGAATCGAACCAGAGACCCTTCAGTTTGCAGGCTGGTGCTCAGTCCACTGAGCCACCCTAGCCAGGGCAGTGAATTCTTCTTGTGTCTTGAACCTGCTTCATTTTGCCCTGTCATGGAGTCAGGCATTTCTCCTACAGCTTGTTTCAAAGCATGTACCTTTCATTAAACCCAAATTGGTTGGAAAAAATGTGGAGATGAAAGAAAAGCAAATACAAGACTAGGAAAGCGTATGTCAAAATCATCAACCTCACACAGTCGAAGCATGTTTTCCATACCCAAAAAGAAACCCATGGTCTGACAAGAATTCCTATAGTTATGAAGAGAATGCAAAAATTGGAATGTCCTGAAAACTTCAGTGTTATTGTGGCCATAGTACAAAGAGTCTGCATGGACCAAACCTAATTCCAAACCCCCAGGATCCCTGACTCGACATTATTGTCAGTTTATTGGGGGGGGGGGGGGGGGGGGGAGAAATGGCCTGATGAGAAAAGGTGGAGCTTATCTAGTGGACAAAGACTCAAGTCGATAACTCTTGTTTTCTTTTTTAAAGATTTTATTTATTTATTTTTAGAAAGAGAGGAAGGGAGGGAGAAAGAGAGGGAAAGAAACATCAGTGTGTGGTTGCCTCTCACATGGCCCCCACTGGGGACCTGGCCTGCAACCCAGGCATGTGCCCTGACTGGGAATGGAACCAGCGACCCTTTGGTTCTCAACCTGCACTCAGTCTACTAGGCTACACCAGCCAGGACTGATACCTCTTTTTTTTTTTTTTTATGGAGATCATTTGTGAATTCCTTAAAAGAAACACAGTCCTTCTAATCTGAATCCAGCTCTGCTCTCTCTTTCAGAGGGCAGCTGCTTACTATAGTGGAATAATAAAATATTCGTCATATTTTAACTTCTTTCCCCTCCCAACATGAATCAGCCACAAATGTCCTCTTCAAATGTTCTCTTTTCTTCAGGACATAAGAAGCTGGTGATTGCTAATAGTTTGAGGGGGGTGGGGCAGGGCGGAGAAAGGAAGGAGAGTGACTTCAATCTATTGTTCAGCTACTTTTCCATTAAAAACTAATCTTTAAATGAAATAACCACAATAATAAAACAAATTTACAAAGTACATGTTACCTCTCTTAACCGTCTCATTCCTATGGTCCATGGGGGGTGGGGGGCGGCACTGGGAAATAGGGCAAAGTTCCTTCTCCCTCCTGCCAACCTCGCCCTACATCTACTGCTCACACTAGACTTGAAAGCAGATTTTAAGCCTTGGGAACACTTTTTGAGTCTAAAAAAAAAATTAGACTCAGACGAACACTGTAGTCTTCTACAGTTACTATAAAAAGTGTTTGTTTTGAGGAATTAGTGGTACATCTCACTTTCTTAAAATTATTTAAAGGGATGGGATAGGGAGACCAGTGGGCTACCTGGGTAAATTTCTTTTGGTCACTTGTCACAATGATTTGGAGGCTGGCCTTCAGTTTGGACATTTCGGAAACAAAATCTTTCCAGATCAGCCCAAGGTTACTGGGTCATGGTAAGCAGATCCTTCAGAGATTAAGATGGATGCCCAGTTATTGCTTCTACTCATCCTTCAAACTTTGTCTCCTCAAGGAAGCCCTTTTGGCCTGAACCACCTGCATAAATTTTGGAGCAAGACTAGTCTCTATTAATCCTATTTCATCCCTAATGAGCTGGGTGACCTTGAGGAAGTTACCTAACCTCTCTGATAAAATCCAGCATACTGATATCCCCAATGAAAATAAAAACTTTTATAGGTTTTACTTAACCATATTGGTCTTCCATATGTATTTCTTTTCTCCCACACCATGAAGCTTGCTTCTTTTTAAAAGATTTTTTAAATTTATTTTTTAGAGATAGATGAAGGGAAGGAGAAATAGAGGGAGAGAAACGTCAATGCAAATGTCTCACATGCCCCCTACCAGGAACCTGACTGGGAATCAACCCAGCAACCCTTTGGTTCGCAGGCTGGCTTTCAATCCACTGAGCCACACCAGCCAGGGCAAAGCTTGCTTCTCAACAACTTCAACATAATTTTTTTTTTGCTTTGTTCCAAAATGCCCACCTAGCATAGTGCTGAGTCTCAGAATAACAATAAGAATACTATCACCACAAGTATGAAAGACACAGGGATGAGGACTGGGGGGGGGGGGGGGAGGAAATGGGAAGGAGGTGGGGAGCGCAGGGCGGGAGGGGGCTGGGATGGGAGAAATAGACAAAAAAATGTACTTGAAAAATAACTAAATAAAATTTAAAAAAAAAGAATACTATCACCAAGCATGTGATTACTAAAAAACAGGTTAGACATTTTTTCACCTTCACACTTTCACTGAATCCCTTCCTCACCTCCACCCTTTTCTTTGACCGCTCTCTCCAAACCTCGAGCTGCTCTATTTCAAGTTCGCCTGATCTTCTGCAAGTACTAAGGCAAGGAGTCACCTGAGGGGTGTCCAGTGTGAACAGTTCCTAATATACTCGTACATGTAACAATTAATGATCCGTTTTCAATCCCACCTCTCACCTCAGGTACCTGGGATTTTTGATTCCTGTGTCTGGGCTTCAGCAGCTCCTTCTGCAAGACCTAATTAAGGTCTGTCTACTCAGTTAAACCATCCATCCACTTCCTGTCTTCCAAAAAGGATTTGACATCTCTGGTGAGCAGTCGCCTCCTCTCCCATCCTCTGTGGGCTCTCAGGCCCCTTTTCTGTCATTGCAGCAGCGTTTCAGGAGAGAGCAGTGTTAACTGCCCGTTTCTGTTTCACATAGCATTTCCCATACAGGCGTAGAGAGGTGGTGTCGTGAAATGACGAAAAGCATACCTTCTGGAGCCACGGCGTTTAGTGGGAAATTCCTAGTTCTCCTCCTCGCTAGTTGTGTGACCTCAGGCTTTCCGTACATAGACTCCTAATTTATGATACGGGGATAATAGTGGTTGGTATCTGTCACAAAATTATGGGCACCTAAAATGAATAGGTGCCAGGCACTTATTAAGCACGCCAAAGGCTTAAAAATGTTACTCAAGAAAGGGTGCTGGCTTCCTCAACTGGAAAGGGCAAAATGATGTTGACTGATCCTGCCTAAAGCCAAAGGAGAACAATTGGTTCTCGGGTCATCTTGCCTTGAAGTTGACTGGATTTTCCTCAAGTTCGAGTCCTGAATCTTGCAGTTCCACTTTTCCCCTGCAGGTGGCAGCCTTCATCACCGAAAATTCACACATCTGACTCAGGAAGAAAACCCTCTTACTTTCGTCTTTCATTGGTTCTATCATTCACTCAGTAAATGTATGTTGAGCAACTTTTACTGTCAGCAACCAGGGAAACAGCAATAGTCAAGCACACACTGTCATTGCCTTCTTAGAACTTAGCAGTCTGCAACAGATCTGAAATAATTCAAAGAAGCTTAGAGGACCTCCCCAACACCCTCAAAGAACACCTTTCATAAGACTGTTCTAGTAGGAGGCACAGCCCTAACTCGAGTCTTTACTCAGATAGAATGCCCTCTCGAGCAAAAATGAGTCTGGAAAGACCATTACTTAATACTAATAACTCTTCAGGCTTACTTACTCTTGAAGGGAGGTTTTTCACAAGCTCCACCTTCTGAGAGAAGGCTCAGTGGAGGCCAAGAGGCATCGAAATAGTCACCAAGGCAGAAAGGGGGTGTTGGAGTGAGTGGACAGGAGGATTTAGGAATTATAGACCAGAGATGACTCACAAAATGTCTCCCCAAGTTTTAAGCCAAACATCTTGTTTGGGGGAAAAAAACTACTCAAAATTTGGAAATAAGATGAAGAGAGGGCAAAGTTATTCTTTTGATGTTATCTAGGACATAAACAAGCCCACTCAAGAATTAATTTTCTATCCCTGGCTGGTGTAGCTCAGTGGATTGAGCGCCAGCCTGTGAACCAGAGGATTGCAGTTTGATTCCCAGTCAGGGCACATGCCTGGGTTGCAGGCCAGTTCCCAGCAGGGGACACAAGAAAGACAACCATACATTGATATTTCTCTCCCTTTCCCCTTCCCTTCCCCTCGAAAGATAAATAAATAAAATCTTTTAAAAAAGAATTAATTTTCTAGTGGGGGTTGGCAAATTTTTCTGTAAAGGATGGTAAATACTTTAGGCTTTAGGACTATATGCTCTCTGTCACTCTTCAACTCTATTGTCTTAGTACTTTGTCATTGTAGAGCAATGTAGACAATATGTAAACAAATGGGTGTGGCTGTGTTCCAATAAAACTTTATTGTAAATGCCAACATCAGTGCCAGATATGGCCCACTGGCTGTGTGCGTAGGCAGAGAAATGTGCCTTTGTTTGCCTAGCCATTTACTATTGGTGAAAGGCTCAGGTTTTTGTCTGGTAGAGTTTCAAATTATTTCTCGCCAGTACAAAGAAGAACCAGGAATCTTGATCGTTTTTATTACCCTGCAGAGATTAATCAGTTTTATATCTAAGTTTCCTGCTTCCTCAAAACACTCTCTGAATCAGCTTTACTGTTTCCTCTTCAACAAGCTGAATAAATTTTTTGACATGCTCATTCTCTATCTGAATGAGTCATGTTTTAACTTTTGACACTGTTAATACTTTTGTTTTTCCCTAGTAATTAGTAATAAAGCCCGTTAACTAAGAGCCCTACACTGTCAAGGAGGATAGCAAAGAAAGGAGGAACTTTTCAATTGCATCCCATTCTGCTGTCATAGTCAGAGCACTGAAACCCCCCAGTGGTGGGGACAGAGTATTTGTGTGTTTTTCCCCAGAATGCCCCTCCCCTCAGCCCAAACAGGCGTAGTTCTTTATATTTCAAAAAATGGAGCATGGGAGGAATCATTCCATATCCTTGGTAACATTTGTTATTTTCTATTTGTTAAAAAATTATTTTATAGTGATCATACTAATGGGTATGAGGCAGAATCATTTGGGATTTTGATTTGTATTTCCCTAATTATTAGTGATGCTGCCATCTTTTCCTGTTATTGGCCATTTGTATATCTTCTTTGGAGAACTGTCTATTCAAGTCCTTTGCTCATTTTTTAATCTTTTTGTTGTTGTTGTAGGAGTCCTAATACATTCCGCATATTAATCCCTTATGAGAGGTATCATTTTGAATAGAATTTCCTGGAGTGACATTGGTTAATGAACAACTGAGGTCAATGTTTCAAGTGCACACACTGCGTCATGCACTCACCACCCAAAGTCAAGTCTCTTTCAGCCGCCAGGGATCTCCCCTTCGTCCTCTTCCACCTCTCCCACCCCCCTTTCCCTCTGGCAATCACCACACTGTTATCCGTTTTTTGTTTTTTTTTTTCTTTGTTTTTTGCTTAACCCCTTTACCTTTTCACCCGGGGAACTTTTTCTCAGAAGGAAAACCGCTATCCTCATACCATCCAAAAAAGAACTTTACGAATCTGTAATATTACCTCAGTTTCTTCTCCAGTTTCCATATATGTGTGAGTCTCTTTTTCCTGTTAATATCTGCCCCTGTGAGCCTTCCAAAATTCATCTCTTTCCATCTGTCTGGTCTGTCTACTAACATCACAGTTCTAGCTTTTAAAAATCCCTGTCCTCCCTCAGTTCAGTCAACCAGTCTTCGTTTATTTCTTTCATTCTTCCACTGGTTCTCATCTGGTACGATGATGGAAGCATGCTTTAAGACTGGTTGCATGCCTCCTTCCTCCCTGATTTCCTGAGCAAATTTCCTGCTTCCCAGAGACAATCTCTTCCAGACAGAGCTTCATCTTAGCTTGGAACGTTTCATTAGCTTTCTCCACCTCAACCCACACACCAAAAAATACATCTTTTGTATTAAAGACCCTGTTCTTTCTGTATTTTCATTAGTAAACTACAACCCATTCACCAGTCAAGTCAGAGTCTGGACTTCCCGAATCCAAAGCCATGATCAAGGTTTATGCAATTAACGTATCAGAGCCCCTGCTCCAACCCCAGGGATCTCAGCAGTGAAGTGAGCCTTACCAGCCCATGACAAAAGGAGTTGGGATCAGTCCCCTCCATGGGTCCTGTTTGTGGCCCCGAAGGAAGCTCAGAAGAGTCTACAGAAGTACGGATGATGGGCTGCTTACTTTGCAGCATCCACCCCGCACCCTGTGTTCACACTGTAAGAAGGCTACAATCTCAGAGACGTGAGCTCAGTCAAATACGAATGATTTAGATATCTGTGCTGTATAATGTAAAGTCCAGCCTAAAGCTTTGCCAACAGGTGTACTACAAACAAAAACCTTCTGCCTCAATGTCTGAAGGCTAAACTCGCCCTCTTTAAGGTAAGCCTTCCCTGGGACAGAAAGGTTTTTTCCCCCCAGTAACCTAATCCCTGTTCTAGCCGCCTGCTGAGGTCAAAGCTGTGCTCACACGGGTAGGTCAAGGCCAGGCCCAGAGGCCTTTGTACTCAGGCCTCTGCCGGTTAAAAATCCTGCTGACTATACTACCTGTCACAAACTGCCCAGGTGAAGAACCTGCTTGACCAGCACTTACCTTTCAGCCTAAACCTTGACTGCATCAGAAACTTGATTTCCACATGTTATTTCACTTCCCACATGTCTGTCCTCATACCTTCCTCTCAAAGTTGTCTAAAGAGCAAAGTAACATGTTGGGGTGGGGAGCAGTTATGGAGGTAATCAGCCTTCCCACATTCTAAATCCACTGAGAAGTAGCATACAATATGAATCAGGCAGCTAGAGCTTAAACGTATCAGCTTTATTGACAAGGCTGACTGGAGAACATGGCTTCGTCATGCACTCAGTTCCCCTGTGGATCTCACGATCACCCAGTCACGGGCTAGGTGACTGCAAGGCTCCTCCACGGGGACACGCTCCCCACAGTGGAAGAGGAAACAGAAGTATCCAAAGGTCAGGCTGCAGCAAGAAAGAACAAAGAGAAAAGGACTGGGCAACAGGCTTAGCATCTTTCCCCAAACCCACCAGACTGATTACTCCTCATCTCTTGAAAGCATGAAAGGAAGAGGTCAGAAATTTTCCCCCAGTCGTTTTTCCGCTAAAGAGTGGAAGTTCCCTCTTCCTCATGTAAATAAGCGGAGGGTAAGTTCCCTTCTAACAGCTGCCTTTGGTTTGGGGACTTAGTCTTCTCTCAGTCATTGTAGCCATGGTACCTGGGTCACATGATGTTGTTTGTCAGGATTCACTGCATTGTAAGCCAAACTGAGAGCAACTCAGGCAAAACAGAATTAATAGGGGTTCAGGGGCTGATCTTCTTCAGGTAAAGCTGGAAGCAGGGGCGTTTGATGGATGTCACCAGGTCTCTCACCACCTCCAGGCTCTGCTTCTCTGTATTGCCTTCCCTCTCAGGCTGGCTCTTTCCAAGTAGAGGCAAAGACGGCCAGAAGTGGGTCCAAGCCTACATTCTACCATCTTACTAACAACCCTAATGACAATTTCTCCTCCCAATTTTCAGCACAATCCCATAATGGAGTTTCACTGGCCCAGCTTGGATCGGGCCTTCTCTCTGGTCCAATTACTGTGACTGTGATGAAGAGAATGCCATGCTCTGATTGGTCAGACCTGGGTCATCTATCCACTTCTGGTTCAAATCCACCCAATCTTCATGAACCAAGGAGGTGTATGAATTATTCATTTCTCCAAGGAAAATTAAAATACTACTATCAGAGAACAGGGGAACTAGGTTCTAGGTGGGAGAAACATGGCCATCACACATGACGCAAAACAAGAAAGTTCAATGGATGAACAGCCTCTGGCTGGTTCCTTCCGACGGGCTTTCCAGGTCAGTCACCAAGAGCAGCTAAA